GTTAACCTTGATTTTCCGCTCACTGAGGTACGAGTCTACCAGGGCGTACAGGTTTCTAGGACACTTCCTTGCGATTAATTGTTGTTTCAGAGAGGGCCACCAGGCGTTATCAAAGGCACCCTCTATGTCTAGCGATACCAATACAACGATCTTTTTGGCGTCGATTTCCGCTTTTACTTGTTCCACCAGATCATAGAGAGCATCTTCTGTTCCTCGTTGAGGTAGGAATCCATACTGGTTTTTATGCAGAGTTGGAAGGATGTGCCATTGGATTCTTCCTATCATCAATTTTTCAATTATTTTGCCAAATACGGATAGTAGTCCAATTGGTCGATATGACTTTGGATGGGTGTAGTCCTCCTTGCCCTGTTTCCGGAGAACTATGATGTGCGCAGATTTCCACTGTGTTGGGAAGTATGCCTGTTCTAAGCATGTATTCGCTATGGCTAAGAACACCTCCCTTTCACACTGGATAGCTACTGCGCAGATGTCAGCCGTCAGGCCGTCAGCGCCAGGGGCTTTTTTGGGATTCAGTGAATTAAGCACTAAATCTACCTCAGCCTGAGAGAAGAGAGGGTCGTTCTCCGAAAGTTCTATTATTTCATTAAGGCTCCTCCCATCCGTTAGTTTTCGAAGGTCAGTGTGGCCGGAGTCATCTGTGTTTTCAGAATCATCAGGGTAGAAAGTCGTCGCCAACAGCTTTGCTGACTCAGATGGACTCAGAGTTAAACCCTCTGCGTTCCTTAAGAGAGCATCCTCTTGGTATTTTGTTGTTTTCCTGATGACTCTGTATATTCCGTCCCACATACTTTCCCTCTTTTGCGTTGAGCAAAACTCCTTCCAACTCTTTGTTTGTTCCTCATCTGCTTTTGACGCGTATGCTTCCTTTGCCTGAATGTATTCGTCAATGACGAACTGTTTACGAGAGGGAGCTGCGTTCCTTATTCTCCTTTTTTTTCGAAGCACATCAGTCTTTAGATTCTCTAGGGATTCCGTCCACCATGGAGGTTTAGATTTTCCTTTTTTCGCCTTTATTTTAGGAATCGCTTTTTCACATGCTTCTGTAATGGCGATAATGTAAGCTGTGACCATGGCTTCTAGTTCCCCAGGTGACTGAACAGACGTGATTTTTTGTGGAGTTATCTGTTTCTCCGACAGAGAGGTTCTGAGGTGAGATTTGAACTTATTCCAGTTAGCCTTTTTGGTGTAGTAGACTCGCGTCGTTGTGGGCTTTGTAATTTCTAATGCCTTTTCCAACTGCAAGTCAAATGTAATGGCATTATGATCGGAGGTTGTAAGGTCTCTGTCGACTGTCCAGTCTTGAACTCTTGCCAGCAAAGATGTACTACAGGCTGTAACATCCACTATGCTTGTGTAAAATCGGTCCCGTCTGAGTGCTTCAAATGTTGGTGTATCTCCTGTATTGAGTATGTGGAGGTCCATTTCGTTAAGGAACGAATTATAGTCTGCTCCCCTTTGGTTTTCAGAACTGCTGCCCCACCAAGGGCTCCAGGCATTCACGTCTCCAGCTACGATGAGGTTTTTTGTTTTTAGTTTTGGTATGAATTCCTTTAAGCGTACCAGATTGTGATGTATATCCTGATCTCCCTCAAGGTAGACAGATATCACTCCAAGCTGCAGACTACCCGAGGTTATCAGTACGGCTGCTTCGGTTTCCGTTACTAGCTGAGGATCGTGTATAATCCTCAGGCTATCCGAAAAGACTATTACAGCCGCTTTTACGGGCTTTTGGCGATTGACAGTACACTGAATTACTCGTGTGCCCGGGTATTGTTTTATTTCACCGGTATTACCCACATAAGGTTCTTGCACCAAAGCTATTGAAATACCCTTCCTCTCCGCCACTTGCATTAATTCTATGGTTGCTAGCTTAGAGCGATGCAAATTTGCTTGGATGACGTGCATTCTGCTACCGCTCAATCCCGAGGGAGTCCCACTTCGTTGCACCTGGTCAACTTTAGCAATACGCTATGCGAGATCGTGCTATAGCGTCCCATTTTTGTCTTTCTCGACAGACGTCACTAAAAGCATTGTGTGCAGTGTCGGCGCTGACACCCTGCACCTTCAGGCAATTCCTGCATGCTGGCGGTTTATTTGAAAGTCGACTTGGACATTTCTCCCAGGTATGCGGTTCTCCGCAGTGACTGCAGAGGTGATCTTTAGCCTGGCACACTATTTTAGTGTGGCCGTACTCCAGGCATTTGTTGCATTGGACCAGAGGAGACTGGTCAAACACAGGTCTCCTCTGCAATCCTACGTAAATTTTCCCAGCCTCCAGGAATCGCCTGTGAATACTTGGTGACAGCTCCAGCACTGGATGACACTCGTGTTGGTTTCGTGCCTTTTTCCTGTACTTCACCCTTATGGTGCTGTCCTGCATATTGACGTCACTGAGAAGATGTTTGTTTTGAGCTAGTACGTGTTCCACTAGTTCTGTGTCTGTATGGTAGGACAATACATCTGCTATTCGGAGCAGTGGGTTGCTAGCTTTGGCTATTTCAACTTTGAGATCATCCTTTTTCTGGACTTGGCATTGCACCAGCTTCATATCTTCCCGCGGCTTCGCCCGCGTCACAAAAGAATAAAAAGTAGCCTATGTGACATATACCAATACACCCAGCGCCATCTATACCAATACTTTTGTTTTTCCTCGGGAATATCAATTTTTTCCGGGTAAAAAAGTACCCTATTATTTAATCCGGACTTCTAACTTTACGTCTGCAAAAATTCAAAGCAATCGGTTGAGTAGTTACGGCGTGAAGGTGAAACAAACAAACAAACAAACTCACTTTCAGATTTATAATATTAGTAAGGATAGCAAAATTATACAATCTAATTCGTCCTTTCGTAAGTTTCAAGGACAGTTTATAGTTAAAATTGCAACAAAATACAGTGAGGTGTCGCCTAGGTTTCATTGTGCAAGCCGATCCTTGATGATTGTTTAGTAACACCAAGTTAATTGCTTGTTGACGACAACAACATGACCACATTTTGTCTTTGAGGCAGTTTTACGAATTCATTTTAAATAAAGTCTCGTGCATTTATTTATTATAACTGTGTCTATTAAAGTTTAAAGTATAGAGGTATAAGATTAAGCCTTAACTTAACTTCACGCCTTTTATCCCCGAAGGGGTAGGCCGAGGTGCACATTAATGCACTTAATGCCACTGTACAATGTAACACCCACTTTTCACTATTTTATGTTATGAGTCCCTTGTAATTGGGGGTGAGCCTATTGCCATATACCGGGCACTATTCCAGACTCCGTGCTATTACTGAGGTTTATTGAAAAACCCAGTAATACTTTTGCCCGACCCGGGAATCGAACCCGAGACCCCTTGCCCAGCAGTCGTACGTGCGACCACTCTGCCAACTCTCTCTGCAGTCAAATATAAGATTATATCTTTTAACGCGAAGCACTTAAGTTTAAAATTACCTAAGTATTTAACACCAATACCTGTACTTATCGTGAAGACGACGGAGGTGTGCCTATCAGCGTTATGGGAACCCAATCAAGTTTGATAAAGTAGCATAGAGGTCCAATCATTCTAAAAATATTTGCAAATACCCAAAAGATTTGGCTCATAGCAGGTAAACATTCTTACTTTAAAACCTCAAAGAGTTCTTCATTCTGTTTTAGTAAATATAGGAAATGTTTGAGGTCAAAATCTTAACGGTGTAATCGCAATTATAATCGATTGACCTTAACAAATGATTAATTAAATAATTAACAAACATTTGAACAATCGGACGGAAAGAATCGGAGTGAGACGTGATCGAATTAAGGATGCCCATGATAGATCACGAAACGCAGCTGTGGATGGCTAATGGCTCATTGTTTTACGTCAATATAACAGGTAGTTTTTGCAATAGGAAGTCGGGCCTATACAGATGCACATTGCATATCTTGATATATGATATTATTATATTATTGTTTTAACCCGTCGAGCGTCCGCGTTCCTTATGATCCAACGGGTGCACACGTGACATTTGGAGAAAGAAAGAAAATGCATTTATTTGGCCATTGGCACACGAAAACAAGGATCATTACAATAGAAATAAAACAAATACAGTCAAAATAAAAACAAAACATTAATAATAGATTTTATAAAAGAGAAAGCAGCATGGAGCATTTTTTCTTATGATCCACCGGGTGCTCATAAGGACGCTCGAGGGGTTAAGACAAAAGACAGAAGTAGACTTTTGCGTAGAGGAACATAAGCTTATTTGTTCTTAAAATAATCCTCTTCTCACACGGAGAAAGTTTGAGCATTAATCACCACGCTTGCTCAATGAGGGTTGGCGACTTCAAACTTATAATTAGAAATTATAAGTCCAGGTTTCTTCACGATGTTTTAATTCCTTTCCTTTCATCTTAGAAAGTAGGTACATATAACCCGGAAAAAGTAACATTGATACTTGCTGTTGGTAGGTATCGAACCCGCTCTCTCATGCATGAGAATCGTGCATCTTAAACCTTCGGGCCACCACGACATTTTAGAATAATGTTCTGAATGAAAATAACGTTCTTAAAATAATGTTCCTTCTAAACTAATGTTAATTAATTTTCTATATCAAATAATTCATCGCTAGTCGAGCAAGCAAACTCTTCACAAGGCAAACTGAATTAGCATCTACACCTGTCCATGTCTATAACAGATTAAAGAAGTTATAGACTGGGTGCCGACCTATGTATGTAGATATGAATGTGACCATCCGTGCAACTATTAAAATAACTCACAGAAATAGAAATACTTAGGTATCGAGACCACATCTTGACGTCTTTCTTTTTAGTATATCTTTATTTTTAAATTTTGCTTGTGCGAAAGTCAACCAATATCTAAAATACCACCTTTAGGAATTCACTCACACAGATGTATTACCCAATATAGGGTTTTAAGTTCAAAATATTCAGGTAAGAAGATTCCAAATGTAGTAGCTAATCGATGTTTTCTCCCGCAGCATAAACAGCAGCAAAAATGTCTCGATTCAAGACTATACTGGTAACTGGCGGCGCTGGATACATCGGCAGCCATTGTGTGGTAGATCTCCTGGAAGCCGGCCATGATGTCGTGGCTATAGACAACTTCGCTAACGCAGTGGGAGACGACACTGGGTCACCAGCCCTCAAACGCGCGGAACAGATCACTGGCAAAACGATTCACTTTTACAAGGCGGACTTGCTGGATAAACCGCTGATTAATGACATTTTTGACAAGGTATTTTAAAGACTATAGAATTATTTTTTGGATAGTCCCAGATTGTTTAATCCCTTTTTTTTCTCTCGCACCTTCAGTACCTAATTTTCTAAACTAATGGCTTACTTACAAGTTTCATTCAGTGCCATTACCATAATAAGTATCTGCTTAGTATCTAATTGCCATTTTCGGAGGAAAGGTCCTATTTATCCTTTTTGGTTACAGCACCCTGTAGACTGTGTAATCCACTTCGCGGCGCTGAAGGCTGTTGGAGAATCCATGCAACAACCTCTACTGTACTACCAGAACAACATTTTGGGCATGCTCAACTTGTTGGAGGTGAGTTTGTTTCGCAGATTTAAAGAATTACCAAAACCAAAGGACCGAAATATAGGAAACTAATTAGGATGAACTATAACGCAATGCCCCTAGTACTAAACTAGCTATCAAATACTATTAATATAGAAACAACTTCCAGTTTTCATAAAAAAAAAATTGAAACGTAAAAAGTATTTAAACCCACCTTTTTTAAATACAAATATGGCGTCATTAATAGCTAGGTAAGTAATTGTTTATTGAATTGATTTTCTTGTTAGATAAATGTCGGTTAATAAAGTGGCGAGATTTCGAAATTGATACGCTTTTAGATTCTAAATTGATAGGCAAATCAATTTAGGATCAGTGTAAATTTATTTAATATCAGCAATCGGTAAATTTAAATGAAATGTTGGTTATTCATTCGTTATCACAGGATATTTAAATTGATATCGGTAGATATAAATATTTTTGGTCAATTGATTTCTTTTTAAAATTATCAATTTCGATCTTTTGATGAGGAAATTCTATTAAAATACCTAAATGACATAACTTTTCAACTATACAATGTACTTGTTACTGTACGAAATAGTCTTCAGAACTAAATTGTTTGGAAATTTCCTCTTTCGATTTGCCCATACGTTTAGTGACTCTCTGTTCATCTACCGGGTCTTTTACCCTACATGTCGGGAGTCAGTCTTATTCTTTACTACATGGCCTACTTACACATGTCTAAATAACTGCACTTTACTCGCACTTGAAACAACAAAACATAGATATTTGCAGACTTGCACTCCCATTACATTTTACGACATAGACCGTTGTCCCACATAGACCGAATCTATTAAGGTGTGGAAGGCATTGTAACAAAGAGGTAAATTTTCGAGGTTTACAACCACAAACCGATATTACAAGCGTATGATCTAGCAAGCCATTGTAACTGTTATGTTAACAAGATAAACAGATTCACAGGAACATTTTAAGGGATCCCTATTCGAAGGGAGAAAATTAACGCTTCCAATTTTTTATTCCAGATTATGAGATCACACAACTGCTATCAGATGGTATTTTCCTCATCCTGCACTGTGTACGGAGAGCCGGAGTATCTGCCTATAACCGAGAATCACCCTACTGGTAGCATCACCAACGTGTATGGAAGGACCAAATACTTCATCGAGGAAATGCTCAAAGATCTAAGCGCTGCTGATGAGGTAAATAAATATCCGTTTTAATCTGAGACATTGTATAATATTATACAATCAATGCGACGATGTCACAGACGATGTCGTGTAGTAGCGATATTTTTGTATTTTTAGTTTTATAATGTTGGAGATCATAAATGGATGCGATTGCGGATCTATATGAGAATGGCCCATGTGGCTCTATAGACTAGTTCCTTGTCAGTCTTTATTGATTAAAAATTATCCGGTCAATCATGGATCCACAAATTATCACATATCCTGTTAATTTATAGTATAATTTACTAGACTTCTTAAATTGAATTAGGTATTATAAAAAATGCGAATTTATACAAAGTAATTCTGTAATTATAATAATTATCTATCTCCAGTGCTCTCATTGACTTTACGCTAGACGGAAATATAAGTATTCTAGTAAAACTAACTGGTCAATGCGTGTGCTTTCTAAAAGGTAAGACTGGTCTCGTGATACAATACCGGTCCTAATGGCCCACTGCTACGAATGCCAAGGTTGAAGGACGCCATCTTGCTGACATAATTGTATCTGTCATCCGTGTCGAACGAATTTATTTTTAAACTTATTTTTTAATTCGATATTTAAATTCATTCAATAATAAATCTTTCGATCCAATTTATTGCACTTTTGTCCACCAGGATGCAGGATTACATTATCCTAATTAATTTGTTTTCTTTTCAAAAATAACCATAATTTTAGCGCTTTGTTTGTTATTCCAAGGAAAAGACATGAGACATATCTTTACATAGGCTAAATTTAATTTAAATTCGCCAGCTTGCGTTATTACACAAGCACTTAATTAACATATAAATTACTCAACACTCGTTTTTAACACACATTTATATACTTTCTCTCTTTTAGAAATGGAACATAATATGCCTTCGGTACTTCAACCCGGTGGGCGCGCATCCGTCAGGTCTGATTGGTGAAGACCCTACCAAGGAGTTCACTAACCTCATGCCGTTCATGGCCCAAGTGGCGCTCGGCAAGAAACCTGTGCTTACTGTCTTCGGCAGTGATTACAATACACCTGATGGCACTGGTAGGTTGAATATTTAACCGAGTCTTTATTCAAATACATAATTTAGGTTAATTTTCCAAATAATCATTTCTTGAGTCCAAGAAAAATAAAAAAAATGCAGAAGAGAAGTCTAACAAAGTGACAAAACGGTTACAGGTATCCGAGACTATATTCACGTTATGGACCTTGCGAGCGGTCACGTTGCAGCGCTGAACTTGCTAAGCAGCACTCACGTTAAACTAAAGGTACCTACATAATAAACGTTAACATAACTAAACTCCTCAAAACTGTACAGCCTATCCGAAAATTTCTGAATAAACGACTTCAATAACCATAAAATGTAATAATTGCCTTTCATTTATAGGTCTACAATCTGGGTACCGGCAGAGGAGTTTCAGTTAAAGAACTGGTGGACGTGTTTGAACGAGTAACGAACACTAAGATTCCTTTGAAGTACGTAGCTAGAAGACTGGGGGATATTACAGCCATGTGGGCAGACGCGAGCCTCGCTAAGCAAGAGCTGGGCTGGTCCACTAAACTGAGCATTGAAGAGATGTGTAAGTTGATATAATTCATGTCGGACATTCTGGATTTTAAATCCGGTAAATTGTGTTTCTAACCACGAAATATTGAAACCATATAAGAAACAGAGCAGATTTTGAATGTTAACAAACCATAAACCAAAAAATAATCTGTTACTTCTTCTGATATTGAATGGAATGCGTTCGTGATAGTAGAGCTTCGTTTTCAATAGCTTTTTAAATATTATTTACCTATAATATTTCACCTAAAATCTCAATAACTAACTACTTCATCTGTCTACAGGCACTGATTTCTGGAGATGGCAGACAATGAACCCTGATGGCTACCCCAAGAAAAGTAAGAAGACGAGCGTCATTGTGAACGCGAACGGAAACAGCTAACGTGGATTGCAGGGCGATCCATATGATTATTTATAGTTCATTATTAAATAAGTGACTGCCTACTATTTATTACACGTTGTTTTATTCGGTATGCTGGAGTAGTATCCTTTCCACATCAGTAATCCAAGTTTATTGCTATACTGGTATTTTTATGGAATCAGGGGCAAATGAGACATACGTCCAAATACTCAACCAATTTTAAGTCACACTGTCGCTACAAATTCTTTCGAAAAGACAGAGAGGGCACATTATTTAAGAATAACTTAAAATTGAGTAGCCTTACAGTATTCGGGCGATAGACATCCGGTACACCAAAGTAATTAGATGTGGACACAGCCTTTGGGTGGGGAGGTATTGAGCAGAATTTTTAGGTCTGCTAGCAAAGTCGGTCGCGGTGATGCAAATTTATCAAGGCACTGATCGAATAATAAATAGATCGAAAAGTATAATATTAGTCGTTGTTGTAAGTTTTAAAACCTATCAAGGTTTTAATAAACAGGACTTGCTTGTACTGAAGAGGTAGTCATAAGTCGGGTACAAATATGACGAAAATAAAAAGAAGAGTACCTTTTAACCTTCTATTTAATTTCTAAACTTCACGTAACTTCTTCATACAAGGATTCGTGTTGCCATTTCAATGGTTCGTACCCCACACTCGTGGTATTCGGTAGGAGGTACCTCGCGAACAGTTCTAAGGTTTGAGGGTTTTCTGTCTTTACAAATGGCGACAGAATATCTGAAATAAAATAAATTAGTTACAGACATTATTAAACTGTCAAACACCAAGCGGTCACCGGTGACCGCGACCTATTGTTCTTTAATTGTGTCTATAAAACCGGTACTCGACGAGTTAAGCATGCCTGTGTCGTTGGCGTATGTCGGATTCAATTCCTGTCGTGCTCATTTTGGAAGTCATTCGGTTTTTAGAAATACCTCAATAATAGCACGAGGCACGCGGTCCAGAATAGTGTGTATAATGGTAACAGGCTTTTCTCCTGTTACACAAAACTCGTAGTCATAACATAAATAGTTTGTACCCTGCAAATACAAAAAATATAACTTATCTTACTTAACAATGGCGGTTTCTGTGAGTGCAAGGCACTGGGCACACTGACCACCACCTGCCCATCTGGTATATCATTTACTTCCCCAACTTTTCCCAATAAAATCCTCTCATATGGCTGCTTCTCACAACCAGCACCAAAACTGCACAGCGGCTGCAAATCCACTGTAACCTTCATCCAGTACCAAGTACCCATATATGCCACTCCCCATTTTGGGAATATTATATTTTTGACAGCGGCAACATTGCTAGGTGCATTTGTACACCATACTGCCACCAGGCAGTTTTCAGCAAAGAGGTTCTGTAATGGTATTGCTGCTATGTCTTCGTTATACATCATTGAGTAACTGGAATAGCAAAAAAATGTGTTCATAATAAAAAATAAGTATTGAAAGATGTAAATGTAAGATTTGTATTTGTATAATAAGATGAAAGCAGCAAAATAAACACACTGCCCTCTCTTTATAAACATGCCGGAGGTTTTGGGTATGATACTATGGTATCAGGGTCAGACAGAATAACTTAATGAATTATATGGATATTCTGAAATTCTCAGTCAACAATCAATATCAACAACTTTGTAATTATGCCTGGTGCTGATGTATGACTATTCCCTAATAGTCATACATCAGCACCCTATGCAGATTAGTTTTTTTTTTAAGGGCTGTTCTCATCGAATGGCTTCTCCCGCCTAGATGAGGCGGGAGGGAGTGTCAGACTCTTACTGACTAAAAACCACTCCGTTCCTACTCCTGCACTGCGAGCCTGAGCCCCCGTAACCCGTTAGGATCACCGCGACATGCAGACTAGTTATCTACCTTAACTTTTCATTAGCATTCTTCAGCCTTCTTATGTACTTGTTCCACCAAGGAGGATCGGCTACTACTATGTCGAATTTATTGCCATCTAATTTCAGGCATTGTTCTTTTACACACCCACAGTAAAACCTGTAAAATAAAAGAGTTATAGAAATAAAACATTATGTTAACATTTATTTTGTATATTTCTGTAGATTTTGATAGAGGAAACTTTAAAGAAAAATGAACTATCTAACATAAAATAAAAATAAATAAAAAGTGTTTATTGTAACTAAAACATTTGACACACAGTTTATAATTACTAACATTTGAACTTAGATGTTAGTCCCTTCTATTGAGACAGAATATTATTTACAATTGATAGAACAATACTTTCTACAATGTTAAATATTAATACTGAAATATTTTCAAAGACCTAATAGTTAGAAATTCCAGAAAATCCTACAGGAATGGGAGAAAATGGGATTGCAAGTATGAAGTCGCGGGCAGAAGCTAGTGTTTTATAACATCAATGATATTTAATGCTCGAGTATGAGTACGAGAATAACACAGGAGGTGTTATTCAATTGGGTTGCACATTCTTTATATTAGTATAGATTCAAGTACTTTTTATAGGTACTAAAATTAGTAATTAACTATCCTTTATAGTTCTAAAATATATCAGTAATTAAAACTCTTACATTTTCTAAAACAATACCTTGAGTTAGATGGTATTAAGAAGTTATGCTCCTTTATTCTACATTTCAGTGATGTGTCACCATTATTACCACCTTTTATGCCCATGAAGTCAAAGAGTGTAGTTTCAAATAGTTCTTTGGAAAGGTCTCTAACATCCGATGTTTCTAGTAATTTGTATGTACTCACTAGACTATCTTTTATATCTCCTGGAATTTCTAATAAGAATCTCTCATATGCTGCTTTAACTTTCACTGTCTGAAACATTTGAAATATAATTCAGATAAACAAGTAAGTATTTATTTTTATTTGGAAGTTAGAAAAAGAGAAGTTTTGTTGTCATTACCTCTTCATGCAAATTATCAGAATTACGCGGTCTTTTTCTGCTCTGTTTATGGGCTATATTTAAAATAGAGAATAATTTTGATAATAAACTAAATGAAACTGTTTCATTATCGTTTACTACTGTACTTTTGTACACATTCGTAATAAAGTTTCTATGATCAATCAACAAGCAATCACTTTTTTTGTAAATTACTGCCATTGTATACACAACTTCACACAGTTACAGCATAGTATAAATTATACTATGGTTACAGTTCACTTAAAAAAGTTAAAAAGCAAACAAAAGTGGACTTAAATACTTTGCATTTTCAATATTTTTGCAATCAGCTGGATTGATTAGAAGTTGACACATTTTTATTTTTCTTGATATCCTGCTCACACTTTGCGTAAATTCATATTTTCTATCTTTGTCTATATTTGGACCGTTGAACTTGAATGATGACAACAACTTAAAAATGATACCAGGTTTTAAAATAATACCGAAATAGTAGTCTTTGTAGCATTTTTCTGTTGATCTGAATGTTAATTTAGGAAACTTAATATTTTATTTAAGTAATGCTCAATTATATTACTTAAAATTAATTTCAAAGAAAAGTTTTTTCTGTAAAATGTAATACAATGTTTTTCTTTTAATTAATTTTAATCTTTAGTTGTATATATTTAATTTAGTAATAGTTAGTTTTAATTATATTTAAGTTTTTATTTGAATAAAAGATTATGATCCATACAAGATAATCAGAATAGATATGAAGAGTTCTTTGGTAGAAAATTCATTTTTGTTTCTTATAGCCCGTTAAGTTGCTGTCACTTCAACTGTCAAATCGAGACGAAGATTCGCTTGCTTGATCTCGAATCTCGACGCGAAAAGCAATTCAAGTTGGAAGATTCACGTTCGCTTCCTACGCTATTTCAACGGTTTTCTATAATACAAAGAAACAAGAATTTTAAAACCCTATATTGTTCCAATCACTCGTACATTGTTAATAAGATACATAGCTGATTTATTTGGAAGTTTGTTGTGATCAAAAAATCTTTACAAAAAGAAGCCGGTGATGATGATTTATACTCGAAGATTTTTTATTTAAATCATGGCTGTTAATAAAGGTAACTTTCTTTCATATATTTGAAGTTAAATTATTTCTTACGATGTATTTGAGTAGTAAAAAATTGTAGATAAAAGACGGCCTTGCAACTCAAGAACGCCGACTCAGTATTGTAAATAACTATATGTTTTATGAAAATATACATTTCCGGTTATTCCGGTTTACGAATAACTTAACCGAGTCGTGTTATAGTAGTACATTCTTACCAATTTACTCACTGTTGTTACAACTTTGATGCTCATCCTCTGAATATTTTCTATCATGTCTGTACTTTGTAGTAATTTTATTAAAGGTACAAAGTCCTAGGCAAATCATTACCTACCAATAGAGTAGTGATTGAAATAGTTATCAACAACTTGTAGTATCTTGGAGCATCTATTATAAGGACTGTTCTATTAATCAATCAGTGTAACAATATCTACAACACAATTTCAATGTTTATAAACAGCTAGAAGGAAATAATACTAAAAAAACAGGTGAGATTCATGTACATTTTGTCATGAGACAGGGTAGAAAACAATTATTTATTTAATTCATTTATACTTACAATAAACTTATATAGATTAATAAACAATGGTGAAAAGAAACAATTTTTCTATTAATACTAACTTTGTTTATTTATTAATACTAAATTACTAAACTAAATACCTAATCCATAACACTAAATATTCTATAATACTACTTCATATTGATAATAGTACAAAATATATTTCTTATTTCAAATACTGGAAAATCTCCTTTTCCTAGTTGAAGAAAACTAGATAAATTACTGTAGGTGCTTTTCCAATTGGAATTAATAATATCTAATTTAGTGATTGAAATTATAAATGAGAATTTAGTCTATTTCATTACATTTATTTTCATTTCCAATATAATATAAATGTAAATCATAATAATTTTATGATTTGATATGATATTATATGAAGCATTAAATACTTTTAGTTTCAAAATATTTTAAATGTATATTATTATACAGTTTCAGTGGTTAAATAAACGAAATTTTATGCCTGTATATTATCTGAAATCTCATACAGACAATATCATTGTATTTCAATGTACCTATCAACAATTTATCTTTTTTTAGTTGTAGACTTAACTATAGTGATGATAACATTTTGTGGTTTAGTTGTCCACACACTACATAAATGTTTGCTACCCCATATCCTTTCAACTCTTACTTTATCTTATCTGTACAAGTTGACACCAGCCCAGGGATTATTTGTCATTTTATCTTGAAATACTGATAATACATTTGAAACAGTACTCAGTATGTATCACTATGCATATTCATTCTGTGTAATTTATTAAGTATTCATGTGGATATACAATTACTGAATTACATTGAGAGATAGACCCTTCAAACAATTTAATTGTGCTGTTAAAAGTACCAAAAGTAGTAAAGTGGCATTAATATTAACAAGTCCCGACATAGCCTAGTGTGCACTGTCTCATTGAAGGGAACCATAAAAGTTTTACGAACTAGAGATCGGGAGCGAATATTGATCAGGGGTAGTTGCGCGCGTATGGCGGCGCGGCGCGAGGGGAGCGCGGGGCCTGCGCGCGCCGCCGCCGGAGAGCGCCCATGTGGTGCCCACCGCTGCGACCCTCCATTGCCATCCCAATTATACACTAATGTTAAAATTCGCCGAATATCAACTATTCCTGCCTAAATCGTCTGCTGCCGTATTAGTCCATGATGTGAGCGGGCTCGCGGCCGCGACCTGAACCATCCTCGCGTAATACGAACGACAACGTAAAAATCAATAAATCTCTGAGTGAAACATGGATGTTGCATTTTCATATGAACAGTGGCCGTAATGTAGTCGCGCAACGGTGTGGGGACTGTGATCCAATAGTGTATTTGTATTTCAGTGAAGATATAAAAGTTTCCGATGTTCAATCACAAGTTACCGACTGACTTTCCAATGCAAACCCTTCGTAAGAAAACCAGCCCTTGCAAATGTGAGTCCGTAACGTTTAGATCGAGCAGCTTCACGATCACCATGTTTTTATATACTTTTGATATTACGGTAATGCGGTGTTATTAGATAGCGCTAAATGTTCCCGACCACGTTATTCGCATATCTTAGCTTTATTATATTTTGCGGTTTATGTTGTAACCTGCATGGATCGGCTACGTTCCTCTCACCCTACTAACTGTTCGAGGGCTCAGCACAGTGGTACAGAGTCGCGTGCTAGTCCGTGTCATAATTAGTGACCCCCGTGGTGTTTTGGACAGAGGGTGTGTTGTGGGCCCGTGGCGGATGTGGAGCGGCGGTGCGTCGGGGGGACTAACTCCATAACTTGCTATTTGTCGGTTTGTACGGGAAATTATGCAGGTGTGTCATTTCCAGCATCTCTTGCGGCAGTTCGGTGAGTACATCTGTCCTTACACACGACATTCATGCTTGTGTATGTGTATCTACTCGTATCAGTGTCATCGCTTGTAGTTACTCCTTTATTATTCCTGTTGTGTGCTTCGTTTATTATGTTTAATTAATGCCGCTGCTGTATTCGTTAAAAAATATCCGCTGAAGTATGTTATGTATCAATTTAAAAAGGACTGATCACTCTGTGTACTGTTTGTGTGGTATACGTCTAATTTGTAACGTCCAACTATTTAGAGCACATTTTTGTGCGGTCTACTGATATTACTGTCCGTATCTTATATAATTATCAGGTCGTAACACTATTTAGTATATTTATACGAGTTTATCAAAGAAGCATCTAAATTAACTAGGGTAAACTAATTTTATCTGGGTTCTACATTGCCTACTAAACCTGCAATGTTATCGCATGTAACCACCGCCTGTATTTGGGTGAAAAGATTTGAAACAAACATATTGGCTGTCATCGTTGGTAACATTCCGCAAATAGGTCTCCAATAATGTAACACCAAATTCCGCGACTAGACTAACATCTTACCTCAATAACAAAGCATGTTCTTTCGTAAATAACATACTCTCTACTTTGTGTGTATGTATACGTATGCAATGATTGCGCAGTTTGCATACAACATTCTTGAAGTATTTCTGTTTCCTCACTCTTGTGAAAGAGCAAATAATAAAAATATATCACACTGTAACTTCAGTCCAAAGAGGTCACATCCACCAGGTACCACCAGTACGCGACAATCATGGATCTAAATTTAAAAACAGGATATTCAATTAACTGGGAATGATGCACCGTAAACAGGGGCCAAAATAGGACACTCGTGCTCACTTTTATTTTGCGCTGAACTTCAGTCGCGTGTGTGCTCTTTGGAGAAAAAGTGTAATGTAATAATAAAAACATGACATTGAAAAAAATTGAAGCAAGATATCTGCTTAACAAAGGTGATATGCAAACTACTGCTAAGTGTGTGCACTTGTGCTAAACTAATGTGCTTTGTTATATTTAGATAGCTGGTTGACTTGCTTAGTTTGTAAGTGGTACGATACGATTCTCTTACGATGCCTTTATTTCTGCGACCCCTATGGTTAATCGTGCTGATTATACTGACTGACAAAGTAATTTATGTGAAGTCCTGATTAATTCTGAAAACAATGCTGTTGGACGGCATTGGCATTTAAGTTCAAGTCATTGGCCAAAGTAAGATACCGTCGTTATGTGTGTTGTGTCCTTTTAGATCTTTCATGTGTGTTTTGAGCCTTAACATAAAGAAAAACCTGCCTGATATATATCAGGTATCTTTACGTAAGTCGAAATTAGCACGTAAAACGTTAGCTAAACTCAGCCCGTTGATGTTAGGACAATATTATTCAACAAGGTCCTGGTTTAAATAAAATAATGATAAGACAAGGTGCCTAACACAATATAATATGGCTTTAACAGACAAGAACGAGCCGGGCCGGTTCTTAGGCGAGGGCGTATCATTTCGCGCGAAGCTAATCGGCGTACTTGAAGTACCCGAGGCCCGGGGAGACAGGATGTGTCAAGAAGCGCTAGCGGACTTGAAGATGGCCATCCGAGCGGCTGGAGAACATAAACAGAGGATACAAGTCCACGTCGCCATAGATGGACTGAGGCTACGGGATGATAAAACTGGGGTACGTATGCACACATTTCTGTTACTTCTAGAATCGGTTATACAATTGTTTTCGCTGCGTTTTATCTAGGCCCATGTAGTTTGGACGAACATTACCTGCAAGCCCATTATCATAACTGAATCTGATAAGAATGGCCGATTTCTCTATCTAAATTCTAGTCTATCCTCCTATAGAGGCCCTATATTCACATAGATGTTTATTGACACCATTAATTTAATAGGCACTCCAAATTTTGGACTATTGATTAAACGAAACAGTTTAAGCTTGATTTCTCTGATATCCCTGACGCCCACACATTCAAATTATTTGATTTGAAATGATTGGATCATATGTATCATCATACCTACCTCCACGACGCCTACGTTTTCCAAAGTCGTAGGAGGAAGTATACAATACACCCACATATTGCTAAAATTGGAAATTAAGGACGAAATCTTACTAGTCTAAGATTTGACTAATTGAAATTCGAAGAGGCTCGGAGGAAATAATAGAATTTCTGTTATTAACATACATTTTAAATGTAGAAAATTATCTCCTGTATCTCCAATTATTATTAAATCCCTAGATCTAATTATAATTGCCTGCTGATGCCTACAGGAAACTAATAACATAGCTTACAAGAAGTCAATACCAACAACAGGATACAAAAAATTACGTAATGTAGAAAACATTCGTGCTAAACAATCCATCATCAACCGGAATAGGACAGATTTGTTTTGACTATTCAAAAATAGGCTTTTGAATTACTATAGAATGTGGATTTTAAACATGTCTCTGAGATTTCCGGTCTTATTTATATGCCACCTAAGGTCTATTACTGATTGTGCCAATATCATCACATGAAGCACGATTAGGGCGGACGCAATCATTCATAACAGCTATCTGAGTCCGTACTCCGATCATCTAGTTAGTACAACCGCTTTGCTAATAACATTTTAAACTGCAAAATTGACCCTTACCATTACGGAATAAGGTCCTATAGTTTATGGTTCTCAATGTATGGGGTAGAGGACTGAATAGTGAACACGTGTGGCGCTGAAACTATTACGGGATTAGGTCATGAGGATACAAAATAGGACTCATCTGTGTTCTTAATAAAATAAATAACATCTGTTAGCCGTTAGCTGTGAGTGAACTAGACTTGATGATGTTGAATATGGGAACTGTAATAAAGACACCAGCTCGTAAATTTGTTCAATCTATCAAACTACTTCAGTGAATATTTTCACAGCTAACTGCAATCCCTTTCTTTTAAAAGGAATTTTCATAGATAACAACCACGCTTAGACTAGGTTTGGCGACCAAGGCCACCAATCTTCAACAATCCCCAATCTTTCCCCGATTGTCGATAGAACCAACTAAAATATTATAATTTGACAGACACTGAACTGTGGAAGTGGAAACTATCGTTTTTTCCTTCTTCTCTTTTAATATCTTCTGATACACTTCGTTGTGGGAACCAAAACAGTTACTCATGCCCCTGAGATGCGCCGGACTTCAGCGTTCCGGCGTTTTCATGGTTGTATCTACTTTAGATCCTGGCTTACAGGAGTTGCAGCGGTTTTGGGAACTTGTACCATTAAGAGAGACACTGAACTGCAGCGCTCTCTAATAAACCTAAATAATTTTTTAGCCAATCGTGAAGATGATGGCAATCTATCTTATGTGGAGAAGACAGCAGAGGACTGGTCATCGTCCAGCAGAGGACTGTCACGTGCTGTTTACGAAGAACTATAAACTTAGAAAGATATTTGCCAGTTTAGGTTAGGTTGATCTACTGGAGTCTACAATACAAAAGTTATCCTTTGTAAGACTAAAATAATAAGTTATAGGTTTCTGGTCGACCTAATGATAAGGAATGACCTCAGTTTAGTTTCCTATTGTCTATTAAAGGAAATAAAACCGTTTGTTCCTCTCATTCTTATTATGTCCCTACATCGGTTTTTCTTAGGAAATTTTTACTTATTGCTATTACATTAAAATAATTAGTATGAGTCGGTCTAGAAGGCTCTAGTTGTCTGTTTTCCTTGACCAGCTTAGTCGTACGTTGAGAACCCAAGGATCTTCTCCCGTCCTATCAACAATGGCGCTTGAAAAAAAAGGCCGTAAAACGCAATAAATATAGCCATATACCATAGTATAAAGAACAGTGTTCTTTATACTATGCATATACCTATTAATTAAGTATATCAAACACTTTTTTATTATCAGGATTCCTTGTATCACCATCCGGTCCACAAGATATCGTTCATCGCGCAAGACATGACGGACTCCAGGGCGTTTGGCTACATATTCGGATCTCCAGACACCGGCCATCGGTTCTTCGGTATCAAGACTGATAAAGCTGCTAGTCAAGTAAGTTTTTTCGAACCGATACGAACTTCAAACCTCCTTTTAACGGTAATGTACTGTCGAAGGTGTCCATGGGTGGCGCTAATCGCTTACGATCAGATGATCCGTCTACTAATTCTGGCTGTACTTTTCTCTGTATTCATCGGTTGGTGTTGGCGTGTAGCCGGTATTCTAGAGTCGGTATTGTGTTGTAAGTTTAATTCCACAACAATTAATACTAATCTGATCGGGGGACTTAGGACTTAGTTTTATAATTATGTGAGAATCGCGATAGATCCTATTTAAATGGTTGCAACGTTACCCATGATTCTTATATTTTTCAACTAGCTTTTACCCGCGGCTTCGCTTGTGTCACAAAAGGATAAAAAGTAGCCAATGTGACATGTACCAATACATACAGCGCCATCTATACCAATACTTTTGTTTTCCCTCGGGAATATCAAATTTTTCCGGGATAAAATGTACCCTATTATTTAATCCAGACTTCTAACTTTACGTCTGCAAAAATTCAAAGCAATCGGTTTAGTAGTTACGGCGTGAAATCGGAGCAAACAAACAAACTCACTTTCCGATTTATAATATTATATATATAGTAAGGATTGTTACGTCTCACATGAATCCACTATTTGTATTTGGGTAACGTCTTAATATTGCAAACATTTCTATTACAGGTAGTAATAGCAATGAGAGACTTATTCCAAGTAGTGTTTGAGCTCAAAAAGAAGGAAGTGGAGATGGCCAAACAGCAGTTGGAAGGCAAAACGGTCACCAGCAGTTTGGTCCGGCACGCGACCAACGCTTCCACGGAGAGCAAAACAAAGGTAATTATTAATATTGTAATCAGATCATTTATATTCTTTACCATTTAAAATGTTTTTGTATTACAAGTTAGCGAACCGATTAATTAAGGTTCTCTTAATTGAGTATAATGTTTTTTATCGTCTGAAATTAATTACATTCAAATATGAGTAATATCGTCGTTTGTTCTTTCCTCAAGATACATCAAGAAGCAGCCATTGACAGAAATAACTAATAGCATTTTCTTCACAAAAGATTGTATTTGTCGACATACGTACATAACATCACGCCTTTTATCCCCAAAAGGGTAGGCAGAGGTGCACATTATGCCACTGCACAATGTAACACCCACTTTTCACTATTTATGTTATGAGTCCCATGTAATAGGAGGTGAGCCTATTGCCATATACCGGGCACAATTCCAGACTCCGTGTTACTACTGAGATTTTTTTTTTAAATCCAGTACTACTTTGCCCGACCCGGGATTCGAACCCGAGACCCCTTACCCGGCAGTCTTGTCAGTCTTCATTTTAGTACTTGTGACTACTCGGCCAACGAGGCATTGAGTATTAACTTGATAAAATTATTTTCAATCTACTTATTGACATACAGTGTGTTCCAAATACCGTTACTTAAATAGAAACAAAAGCTTTCGTCTTTATTTGTGTTATAATTTGGTTATGGAACCTCGTACCCTGATTGGCCTGATTCCGTCGGCCTAACTATTCAGGCATCTGAAACATGCAAACGAAATAAACCGAATAATTAAACCAAATGAACATATTTTGCCTTCCATACATTTCTAAACGACTGTTTTGTAAACAATGCCCGTATCAGAGGAATAGTAACTTGTACTTGTCGATGTTTTTGGAGGAAAATTATTAGGATTTTTTGTAGTTTAGTATTAGTTAATTTTGAATGACCGCTGACAATAAAATTGTCGGGCAGAAGAATGGTTGAAAGAAAAGAATTATCGAGTATTTATTTCCAAGTCGGACTGTGTATTTTGATCCTTTTTTAATTTCTCTATAGTACCATATATAGTCTGTATCGTACCTAATGCCCCTTAGACCCTTAGTCATCTGTTATGAATGACAACCCGGTAAACGTATGGGTAGTAAAAATATGTTCTAATCTGCCATTACCACACGGCTAGATCTTTATGGTACGACAGGTGTGTTTTAACTGCACGGTTGGCGCGGTGGCTGAGGAACTGGCTGCCACGCAACGTATAGCGGGTTCGAATCCCGCACAGAGCAGCTCTTTGTGTGATCCACAAATTGTTGTTTCTGGTCTGCTAATTTAGCTACTTACCAATAGGCGGGCTTTTTTGAGGGGGGACAATCATCCAATGAGTTCTCCCGCCTTGAGTGACGCGATAGGGAGTGTCAGACTCATACTGACTAAATAAAAACCACCCCATTCCTACTCCTGCTCTTCTAGACCTTTAAACTGTAGACCTTTTAACATAATAAATAGTTATTGCTACTAATCGTACTATACAAAATCATTTATTCTAAACTACCATGTAGTATTAATGTTATTGTGTAGTAATTTGCAATCGATTGATCCATTGTAAATCGAGTTGCCAAAACACCGGATGGGTACACATTGTATCGTCAACAAGTCGGTCTAGTTGGGTGCAGGCAGTGCGATTAACAGTACACGGTGATGCAATGTGGCTAATAATTATCGATTGGTCTGTGAAGATAAAGAAAAAGGTTTTGTGAGTTTTTATATTTACGTTGTGTTTAATATTTTGAATTTTATGTAAGGTAACTTATATTAGTAATTTAGTATACACTAACAACTAGGAAAATATTTAGTTTTATTCCGCTGAAGGAATGAATCTGCAACATGCAGTATGCAGTCATGGATTCCCGCAAAGTAACATCTGATTCTATTCTATATATACTATATTAGTATTTCATTGTATCCTAGGCGTTAGTGAATTTGAAGGTGGATATAAGTAGTTAGTGAGTCAGTTATTGGTTAATTCTAACTTTTATTTCACAAATTGTCGTGGTTTTAACGGCTTTTTATTTATGTACGACAGCTTAACTAACGTTATTGGATTTAGCAAAGGATTATGAATTTTTCTGTTTATGAATCATCATACTTCGGTTAAAAATGGCGTGGTCTTATATTACGTTTGTACATTTTGTTTAGTGAAATTAACATTTAAATCCAGTCAATACCCGTCCCGTCTACATTGTTACCTTGAAAAAATATTTACTCAGTATTACAAAATCCAATAACCGTCTATTCTTATTAAAAACCTATTAAATATTTAGGCTTTTTCTTATCTAGTACTAAAATAGACGTCGTTCTACGTAGCTACTATCGATTTGTGTCCTAGTGCTAAAGAAGGATAGTACTGTAAGGTGGAACGAGTAAAGATACTTAAGAATACGATTGTTTTTTTTTCGGAGTTTTTTAGGTTTTAACCCGTCGAGCGTCCGCGGTCCTTATTCCAACGGGTGCACACGTGACATTTGGAGATAGAAAGAAATAAAAAAAGAAAATGCATTTATTTGGCCATTGGCACACGAAAACAAGGATCATTATTCATTACAATAGAAATAAATAATACAGTCAAAATAAAAATAAAACATTAATAATAGATTTTATAAAAGAGAAAGCAGCATGGAACATTTTTTCTTATGATCCACCGGCTGCTCATAAGGACGCTCGAGGGGTTATGTGACGTCAATGGCTAAAATGGTTCTTCTCCATATTAATCGACACTTAGCTTTACATGCAGAAAGACTGACGAACCGACTTCAAAAGGGAAAAGGCTCTCTTCGTGTGAGTGTTTGCACGAAATATCATAAATTCCTGCCCGCTAGTTCTTTTTATAGAGATAGGTGTGTCCTATCAACAACAAAACGAATTCTCCATAGACATTCGATCTCATCCTTTTGGTTGAAAAACCTAACTTAAGGGGTTTTTTGGTGCGGGATACATATTAAGCTACAATTTTTCTTTACCCAAACAAAACGTAGGTATCTATTATGCTTGTGGTTTTGTATGATAGTTATCGTATCATTCATAAACAGAAACGAATTCAACCTCTTATTCCATTTAGTGCTTAACCCATTTGGGCCCGCCGTCCCCATATGGGGACAGGTTTTCTTTTACCCGCTGGTTATTAATTATTTTAGCTATCTTCACATTTCATGGGTATTTATAATGAGGAGTAGTGTACTTTCCTAAAATTATTAGAACTTTTGACAAATTGCTACAAAAAAGGGGTCATATTGTCAATTTTATCAAGAGGAAGTGAAATGGGAATTATTATTGAAAGCAGAGGCGTTTTGTAGTACGTTATTATGAAGATTTATTAAACTTTTTTGTGATTATTGCTTGCTTATAGTGTCAATTAAAACAATATTGAAGAATATCCTTATACTTTCAATTCCGCTTAGGGGAAAGTTAGAAAAAATGATGGTGTCCCCGTATGGGGACAATGGGCACATCTGTAGTATATTTTTAAAACATTTATACCTGATTTGTATTTCGTTTTCCAATTTATAAAGGTCACCTATAGGCTAAACTTAGTTATAGCTAATACTTGGTGACAGCAGACGCTAATTCACGAAGAGCATCACCAATTCCGCCATATCTTTACGCGTTCATATTCTAAAATCTGATGGGCATCGAGACCGAAGATGCAAAAGTACCAGGCGTCGCATCCGATATCAGAATTCAGCAGTAGGGGGCATTTCCTCCAGCTGTATTCTGGTGTCGTCACAGCGAAGTCCACCCAGAGGATAGAGTAGCATTATGCCCTGTATACGTTGACCACCGCCGTGTCTTCAGGGAAGTGATCGACGACGATAATCTTCCACATCCAGCTTAGGTTCTGGCTGTGGTGCGGATCGAGGGGAACTGGAAAACATCTCTTTCTGCGAAGCAGTCGTAGTAGCAAGAACAGATCGCCGCCCAGAACCAGACCTGTACCTGTAAGGTGCGTGGCGTTACGCGAGTGCTTCAAAGTGCAGATCAGACCGCCTTAGATCGAGATGGTCCAGTGGGACAGATGCCCGACTACTATAAATAACCTAGTGGGTCACCGGGGCTTCGGCTTGAAGCAGAATTAGGAACGTGTTGGTTTTTAGCCAGTAAGAGTCCCCCAGGCGGAAAACGCAATGCATGATTTTTACCCTCAAAAAAAATATAGGCGCGTCACATCAAATTGATTTAGACATTTTCCGCAGAGATTTAGTTAATATCTGTTACGATACGCAGTTCATCATAAAAAAACTGTGATATCAATGCAAATAATGCGTTAGAACCTTATGTGTCGAAAACAGATACTACTTCGAAAAGTACTACACATGAGACCGTTGTCCCCAATCAAGGACGGCATTTTTTTTAATACTTCTAAAAATATTTTTTGAATTTTTTTTGCTGATATTAGTTTGTGGGCGTCATATCATTGAGTTAATAAAGTTTTTTTTATTAAATTATGTGTAGTTTGCATTTGGTCCCAAATGGGTTAATAAGATAAATCATTTGACTGTTATTCTTATTTCTATTGAAATTAGATTTAGACAGTTTATGACCAATTCTTACGGGTCGGTTTTTCGTCGCTAATAAAATATTCTGAGCTGTCTACCTAAAGGTCGCGGGATCGATGTTCGGTTTACGTAAAGTCTGACGAATTTGAGTTTATTTCTTGTCCTTTTTACAACTCTAGTGTTAAATGAAATAGACACGAAACGCAGACTCCTTTGATGAAAAAGTATTGATTTATTTGATTATGGCTATTCAAGGCGGCATGTAGGTAATGATATAAATGACAGTAAAATTGTGTTATGGTTGATAATAAAAATATACTTGGGTACAAGGTATATTTTGCTTATCAAATAATCTACTCGTCTTTAAGTGTGCCAGTTTTTTATGTCAATTGCTGTAAGTAAATTCAACTTTCTAAACAGTAAACATGCTAAAGAAATAATATCATTTATTAGACCCTAATTAATACCTCTGCCTAAATTTAGGAGAAAACTTATAATTTTATGCTGATGCTAAATATTATTCGAAGTAAATAAAACATATGAATAACTTTTTTAAATACCTTTTGTGCAACTAACCTAAGTCATTTTATTCATAAAACTGTAAATAAATAAAAAAAAATAAAAAAGCCTTTATTTGACCTTGATTACAAGAATTGTTTTTCTTACATTCTATGTTATTAAATATTTAATGTTCCTTATATCTAGGTAGCGAAATGTTTATGCTAATAGCTACTAGTTCAAATCTTACTTTCTTTTAGTTTCGTATAACTAGATGCTAATAAAATGTTTGTGTTTACAAAAACTACTCTTTACTTAGTTTTTTTTTTAACTTAACATTATTTATAACTGGATAATTGAGTGGTTATTACTACTGTTTGACTATTTATTAAGGTCCCCAGATTGGGTAAAGGCCTCCTCGAAATTTGTCCACCTATCTCTGTCCTGTGCTATTTGCCGCCAGTCTGGGCCTGCGATTTCTTTTATTTCATCGACCCAGCTTGTAGTGGGTCTACCTCTCCTTCTCTTGCCTAGCGGGCTTCTCCATATTGTGGATATGTAGGTCCATCTTTTATCAGTGAGCCTCGCTACGTGGCCGGCCCACCTCCATTTTGCTTTTAAAGCGAAGCTTAAAGCATCAAAGCTCTCTATATTATTTTTGTGTATTTTATTTATTATAAAGCCAATAAAACTGTACCTACCTAATATTTAGTAACATTGTCGTGTTGTAACAGATTCGCAAAGTTTATTTATTCTGTGCATTATTCGTGGACGATAATTTTTATATGTCACGCGATGCGACCTCTTTTATAGTTTAGGCATGCAAACTCTGTTTCCATATTTAAACTGGTGTATGTATGTATATTTGATAATCTATAGCTGTTACTATTTAACTGTTTCATTTAAAATTACACTGCAGTATCATTTCTTATTGGGACAAGCTCACCCAACCCTTAACTGCAACTCCTATAAGCCAGGATCTTCAGGATAGATACTAATTCTGACTTTTGGGTCTATATTGTTTTTATACATTTCTTGGTCCTGTATTGTTTTTATTCATTTGTAGGATATACTCCTTAAATAGTGGCCGGCCACTGTGGGGTGGACAATCCCGTACAAAATTCATAGAAAGCTGTCGTTTTTGACAGTTGGGAAAAAGTATTGAATAGGACCAGTTGGCAAGTACCCAATTATGGCAAACCCTGTCTGTATATTGCGATTACGATTAAATTAAACATTATTGATACGGACAGCCTCGTTGGCCGAGTGGTCGCAAGTGCAACAAGGGGTCACGGATTCGATTCCCGGGGCGGGTTTTACTGGGTTATTAAAAACTTTATAGTAGTAGCACGAAATCTGTAATTGTACCCGGTATATGGCAATAGGCCCACCCCCTATAACATGGGCCTAATAACATCAAAGTGAAAAGTAGGTATTACATTGTACAGTGGCATTAAGTGCTGTAATATGCACCTCTGCCTACCCTTTCGGGGACAAAAGTTGTGACGTTATGTTATGTTGTATTATTGATACAAAAAAACAGGGCTCCAAAGACCTTTGGGGCCCTGTTTTTAAAAGACCTTTTATCAATACTCTTTTGCGGAACAAAGCGTATGTTTGTTATTTCACAATGTCCTTCCGTACGTGATAACAGAGGTTGTCAACCCGTTATCAAAGTGTACGGTAATTGTTTTGTTCCGATACATCATTGTCATGTCCAGTTCATGGGCAAGGACGTTTGATATCAGAGCGTTGCCACACATTTATTTTATGATCTCTGCCAGACGGAGCCTTGAGAGTCTCTTATCTATTTGATATTTCTTAAGATTAAGAAGCAAATAAATAAGAACACAATAAATTCTTGATACTTCCATGAGACACATTTTTATCCAAATAATATTTAAAGGTAAAACAAGACGTTATTGACGAAGCTATGTGATAATGTGCCAGTTTATGGGCTTTCAGTGATCTTATTACTTACTGAGATTTTCCAAAAACTCAATATATCATTTCCCGGCCCGATAGTCGAACAGATCCTCTTAGAAGTTAGAACTTCAAAGAAGAAGGGAAGACGTTGGCGCATAGCTGTTGCTCGCGACTTCGTCCGCGTAGATTACAAATTTTAGGAAATAACGTTTCTGTTAGCAGCTATTTTTAATATTACAAACACACTCCAATTGTATTTATCTGTATAGATAGGTACTGCAATAAGTATTCATTTATTTCTAGTAAAGTTATTATGTAATAAAAACTAAGACTTAATTAGTCTACACATCACTCAAATACCATCGAAATAATTATTATATTATGTACTTTATTATCTTTAATAAAAACTTCTTAATATCACCTCCCAAACTGATTACATAATACCTGTAAATAATTCCAAAGACAGTATCGCTATCTTCCTCAGAGTATTGCATCAGTTGGTGAGACGAGCTCCACCGCAGCTAAGACCTCAGACGTGGGGGCTGAGGGGGGCGTGGCCGAGCTGGTCGACTTAGAACAGGAGCTCAGCTCACTTAGAAGAGGTTTAACTCAAGTCGAGGGTCTGACTCCTTCCAATGATCCATTCGGAGACTCCTTTACTACGTTGCCGTCGCAGGTAAGGGGAACTTCAACTATTTATGTATGTGCAGCGTAATAGGAAAAATTGTTATCTAATATATGTACTTTATTATTTACAATAGCTAGTGTAAATTAGGTCAAAGTAGACGCATATAAGCATGTGTTAATATTAATCTTACACTAACATAACCTACCTTGTGCGTACTGCTAAGGAATGGTATTCTTTGCCAGAATCTGTATTTCCTGATGGGTATAACCTGGGTATCTTCAAGGCCCGAGTGAATTTGTTGCTTATGGTACGACGTCCTACATCGTAGACCGCATGGTAATGCGGTGTGGTGGCGAGATAGAGGTCAAACGTCGGCCGATCAAATATAAAAAAAAATCTAAATGATCTAGTAAAACTGAATTAAAATACATATTGTAATAAACCATTCATTTGAAACAATGCCCTAGATTTTTAATTTCTAATTCTCGTAACTTTCTTCTCCAATTAACATTCATTTATCTTCGTAGCATAATTTTAATCATACTGTTCGATTATTAGTAATGACCTATGACTAATCAAAAACATTACTAAAAGACGATCTCCTTAATTTTCCAGAAGGGATTACTTCCCCCTCCCCCATCTGGGGCGTCTACCCGAGGGCGTAGCACCCCAGCCGCTCCTACTTCAGCCCGAGGCGTCTTCAGCCCCGGCAAGGCAGCCCCCCCTCTTCCCTTCGACCTCGCCACCGTCGCCGCGGAATTCGAACCTACACCTGCTCTAGTCGACAACCTCACTGAACCTCCGGTTAGTAACAAACAATTGAAATTACTTCATCTATGTATAATACGTCTTGAGATGTTTTAAAATATTCTGTCCTTGTCATATGCATGTGAATAAAATGAGAGGGCTATATATATATAATGTACTACATGAAGAGGGGAAAACAAATGTTTGTAAAATTTGTTGCAAACAAAAATTAGACACTACTTACATACATATCCTTTTATAAACACAAAATTTCAAACAGATTAATACTTACCCGCCTGCAGGAAGGGTATTGTTTTACAAATCAATGCTCGTCATATTTCAACTACAAACATCCTATAAATTGTCGGTTAAATAGCGAATGACTTAAAACAATGAGTTCCGATTGTCGTTTCCATATAAAACATTTATCGGCAATCTAAGTCGTTCGTTTAATTAAAGTAAAATGTAGGAATTCGTTAATGAAATTGTACTAATGTTAGTTAGGCCATTACTTAAGTAGTTTTATTCAAATGTCGTTTCGTAAAAATTAACTTGAATTGTTTCACTTTGTTACAATGATAATGACATTACTATAATTATATACATTAGTAAGAGATATCAAAATATATTTAAAGGAACAATAATATAATGTCTATGTAAATGAGCATATATCTATAGAGAACGCATGAACAATATTAATAGACTACAATCAAGGATGTTGAAAAAAAGGTGGACATAGTCTCTTGAAACAACGACTGTGGCACCTGGATACTATAGACTTACACTCAGAACATACACACATTGACACGAAGGACATCTGTAATTTTTTTAAATCTAGTAGCCCATTACACACGCACACATAAATGACATTAACATTTTGGTGCTTCGACATTACGTCCGCCTTTTTTCATCGTCCTTAACTACATGGATACTATACAATTATATTTTGAAAAAAAGGAAATTTAACAGGATTGACTTAAAATACTTACCTCGTGTGTATAGGTTTATTGGCCTCACTACACAAACCTGTGTCATTCAACTAAGCCAATTGCCAGTGTGCATAAAACTATAGAATCTACTATTTGTGTCATAAGATGAGTAAAGATAAAAAAAGAAAGTTAAAAATGTCTAATTTTATTTCCATTACCTGTTACAAAACATCATAACATAACGCCTTTTATCACCGAAGAGGTATACAGAGGTGCACATTATGCAGTTAAGGCCACTGTACAATATAACACCCACTTTTCACTATTTATCTTATAGGTTCCATGTAATATTTCCTGTTAAATTTCTTCAAATCAAAATCATAATTTGTCTAAGATATTACAATTTCAATTTTAACTTCTGAATGTACTAAACTACCGGACAGCATTCATGAAATTTTACCATTAGGAATACAACCTATTTTCAATGAAATGTTTCCCTCGTAGTTGTATACCTCTAGTTATTTTGGCAAGGCTGTGTACTTTGTGTTCGTTGCTGTTATTTGTAAGTGATACTGTTCTAGTGCCCCATAGTGCATGATATCTCTGGTATTGCTTGACGTATACTGGTGTTAAATATTGTTGCGAGTTTCATTTATTACAAAGATTAAAAAGTTGGCCCTAAAAATTTGGATCGTATAGTTATAATGAAAAATAATAATTATAACCTTTTTGAAGACACTCTCAATAATATTTGAGGTCAGTAATTATAACCTTTTTGAAGACACTCTCAATAATATTTGAGGTCAGTAGTAGGTCCCTGTGCTGTGACGTCTGGTCTGTATGCTATAAGACTGTATTATGTGGACGTGACGCTTACCTTATTCTACGAGAACCGTCTACCTGAAGCATGACGCAACCTTGACACTCGCCGCGTGCCACTGTCTGCTGATACCGTCGCGACGCCTCCTTCGCTGCAACTATCCCGCACGACTACTTCGCCCGGTTTACGCACTACGAACGCACTGTCTACGGTTATGTGTTAGACGCACGCTTTCATTATTGTAGAACGATTTTAATTTAAATGTCAATTCTCGAATTACTCGCATCCACATCGATCGAGCAATTCTATAGTTTGAATTCGAAATTGCGCTCCACGTCTACATATACTTAGTGTTATGGTGACTGGCTATGTTACAGGTATGCCAGGCCGGCGCGTCCACGACGCAGTCGCTCAGTTACGACGTATTCACGGAACTAGACCCCCTCGGCACCGGCCGGAGTAAACCTTACGTTGACAAAAAACTCTTCTTTCAGGAGCTCAAAAATCCGCCAAAGAAAGTGCTCAAAGACCTCGTATCGACACAGAGTCTAATATCAGACATATTGCCGGTGACCACAGACACTAAGATAGAGCATTACGGGCCGGCGACGACGATGACGTCACTGTCGCGGCACTCGGGCGGCTCGGTCGCGATCGTCAAGCCGACGCAGACTGCCATGTTCTCGGGAAACTTTTTCTCGTCCGACCCGTTTGCGGAGACCGATCCTTTCGATAACACTGATCCGTTTTCGGATTCATTCAAAGACGATCCCTTCACAAGTATGCAGGAGTTCCCGAAGTCGAGTGTACTGAGAGTAGATGAGCTCAAGAGCAAGCTGAGCAGGGAGGCGACCCTGGACAAGCCGGAGCCGGAGCCAAGCAACGTCTTCAACGGACCGCTGCAGGTCTCCCTGCCGCCGGAGCCCGCGCCCAAGTCCCCGCGACTACAGAGACAGGTACGGCTAGTGGGTGCCAACCTCCAACTCTCGCTTGTTCCGTGTTGTACCAATAACCACTTGCACTACAACATGCTACTCATTGCTACTCTATTACTAGCTACACAGCAGTTTACTCCCTCGAACCAGTCAAACAATCTGGCAAGACGTAAACCAATAACTTCAGTCGAATATTTAATGACACTTTATATTTCCAGAGCACAGAGGGCAGCACAGTCCGCCAGCGGCCCCAGGCACACAAGTTGAGTGCAGAGAGCGCGTCCCCCCCTCCCCCGCTGCCCCCCAAGAAGGTGTGCGAGGTGGCAGGGAGCAGGCCCCCGCCGCGCCCCCCACACGACCACGACGACGAAGACGTGGGACCGCCACTGCCTAAACCTGCTATGCGACGCGAACCACTGGTAAGATTAACTAATTTCCAATTTGTATTGGTCTTAAAAAGAACTTGTGGAGGTCAGCGCTATCCATATTAGTTCGTATTCAATAAATTATCTGTTGCTTAGTCATTTTGCAGGTACATTAAAAAAACCACCTTCACTTTTGAGCATATCTTACAATAAACAATATTCGATTTTATTGACGCCTAAGTTTGACAGTGGGTACATTGCTATCGAATAAAAAAACGGACTAAACTCGAAACAACTTCAGTCATTGTTATTACACAAATTATGCCGTGGTACTGGGCCTCAACTGGAGTACCTAGTCTGATGGCTCTTTGAGATGCTCGGGTCTGGTTCTGGTCGGGCGGCGAGCCACCCTTACATACATCAACTATAATATAACAACAATACCTACTACAGGCGGACCGCAGTATGAAGCCCCGCCTGTCGTCTGGCGCTACGTACAGTAGCGAGGACGAGTACCTGACGCCGGCCCCCCCGCCCCTGCCCACTGCGCGACGGTTCGACATCACGCTCAGCCAACTACTCACATGCACCATGGATGAACTCGCTCACAGGTACCTTTCATGATTTTTAAAAATATACTTACACTACGTAGGTTTAAAGTTCACTTTTATTGTACTCGACAGTAAATGAACCCAATATGGTCGGCAGATAGTTTAGATTTGTATGACGATGCGATCACTACCCAGTGATCGAGCGAAATATAGCTTCCGTCATACCATTGATTAGGTTATTTCAATCCCTGCAAGCATAAATAGAAGCCTTGTAAAACTTAGTTTAACCTAGGTAAAATTGAATTTGGTCGGTAATACATTTAACAATAAGGTTCATATTTGTATTTCCAGGTTGCGAGTTCCTGCCACGACCTTGTCTTCTATGACTCTACCTCAGCTGACCGATTACCTCAGATCATACTTAGCCGCCGATAATGATAGAGCGGTACGTAACCTTTATTAAAATAATCTCAATTTGTAGACTGATTCTGTACAAAACTCACTAATAAGTAAAACTTCTAGGAGTTTGTCTAAGAAAAAAACATCTCTACAAGTACTGTAGCAATGCCCATTTTCTTCATTCTAGCACATACACGTAGAACCAACAATGAAAACTGAAAAAGAGAAGCCTGTACCAGTAATATCAGCGCTACCCACACCGAGCATACAACCACTCGAGAAACCTTCAACCGTCGTCGTTCCGAACGATTTCAAACCGCAATTCGAAGACAACTTCACACCGCCCGCTGACATAAGCGACACATTCGTAGCTAACTTCGATGACTTCGACAAGAAAGCAAATCCTTCGTACGATAGATACGCAGCCTTTAGAGAAATACAGGAAGAGGAATTAAAAGCAAAATCTATTTTAGACCCTATTGATGCGTTAGAGAGTGAACCGAAGCAAGATTCGGATGAGAAAGAGTTGACGGCAATAGATAATCTTATGAGAGCCAATCAGGAGCGAGAGAATGAAAGTAAAGAACCGGCTCGTAGTCCATTAAAAACGTTGGACGAATTAACGCTAGATTCCTTCAACATGTTCCGTAATTCTGTAAGTCCCAAACCGTCGCAAATTGATGCGAAGATAGAAGATATAAAATCTGTTATGAAGACGTTACAGATAGAAAAATCTAGAAGGAGTGTGTCGCCGCGGGATAATGGACATGTTGATGTTAAACTTGAAGATACTAATGATAGGTAAGATTACTTTTTGTTTGAATTTTATGATCCTAAGAATATTTCATTCCGATTAGTGTTTTCGTATTCTAAAATGTATCTAATAATAGTGTAAATACAGTTCAAATTGGCATATCTCAATGCCACTAAACAATTGTCATTATTAAAAGTATATATGTTCCTAGGTATGCAGCATTACGCGAAATCACAATAACGGAGCCACCACAAGACGAATTCGAGTCCCTACCACCAGAACTACCAAAAGAAAGAAAGAGATCGGATGAGAAATCCGACGGGTTCGACAATTCCGACTTTTTCGACTGCATCGACAATAGTTCCCTCTCTTTCACACACGTGGAGGATGCCTTTAGAAAGAGTCCTATTGTGAAAGAGAGAGAAGAAGAGAAGAAAGTTGAGGAGAAGAAAGAGCCAGTAGTGGAGATTGTTCCGTTGCCCGTGAGAGACTTGGCCCCGCCCACTCGACTGTCCACTGGGTCTATTAGTGATGTGGTCAGCGGGTCCTCGCCTGATACTAAAGGTTAGTTTCTTGTACACTGGTTTATGTTAAGTAATAATTACAATTTGCCCTGAAGTGGGACGGCCATGGTCAATAAGAAAAAAATTACACTGATTCGCATTATTTTTGGTTGGGTTATTTCAAACTGGATACGAGTGTGAAAAAAATGCGTAACAAGTAAACAAATACATAATAATCTACAAAGTTTGTCTAGGCTGGCAAACGAGCAAACGGATCACTTGATGGTATGCAATCGGTGTCGCTAATGGTCTTGAAGATAATTTATAAGCGCGTTGCCGGCTTTTTGTGGATTTGATCTTTTATTTGATAATTGGACCTTCAGTAACCCTACTTGCATTTCAATACATAACACCAAATGTTGCAACATTATTGTTTTGAGCTGGTTTTCTGTGAGGCTGTCCAGCTGGCTCAATCGTATCAAAGCATGACTAGTAAATATGGTAGTTCAGTAATTTTGTATGTTATTCGTATGTACAGAGAAGCTAGGCTCGGTGGTGGTGGGCGTGGGTCGCGGCGCGGGCGGGGCGGGCGGCGCGCGCGGCGGGCGCTGGGCCGTGCTGGGCGCGGCGCCGCCCTCGGCCGGCTCGTCCGACTCCCGGGACTCCGAGCCGCGCGCGCGCCCGCGTCGCCGGCATCACGAGCCCCCCGCACGGGCACCCATCGGTAACTTACTTACCATACTTTTACTCATTACATGTTTATTTAGCGTCGCAACCTTTCATTATCCTTTCCTATTCTCCTATAAATAAAAATAAATATGTTTACACTTTTGTTTCACATTACGTTTTTGTATGTCACACCCCACACTAAGATTGCCTGCGCCGTGGGGCCCAATCTCTTTCAGTCAAATCAAACATAATTTCATCACCAACTCATTTTGCTTTAATATTTCCTGTTTACATATTTCAAATCAAAAGAAACGACATACATGTTATTCATTATTACTCTTACAATGATTAACTTCATACGTTTAATACTTTCACATACATATTGCCAACAACATAAAACTTGATAATTATTTTTCTGGCAATAACTAATTTCATCTATTTAACAATTATTTATTGACTTAGGTATCAATATTTAAGTACTGAATTTCACTATAAGACTACTACTCAATTTGAAGTTGTACTTAAATATTGTGCCATCTCTGTCATTTTACAAAGAGTTTGTAGTGACAAAACTATAAAAGCGCGACTTACAATTAAGTGACGTTTAAGTATTTGAACCATTGACTTACAAAATACAATACAACTTGCAGTACAAACATCATCATCATCACGCGACGTGTCGCCCTGGGACGAGGAACTGCCGCCCGTCACGAGGTTGCAACGACCACCTTCACATAGAGATAGAGACTCCAGGTATGACGTCATAAATATTAACGTCTGGGTAAAAGTCACTTTAGTCCTTAATCTATGCTTAACATACTTAAATGTTAGCAAAATCGTTTATTTCAATAAAACAATAAAGCGCTTTTAAAAGTTAAATATAATATAGTCGATCGGGACCTTGGTGAAGTGTTAGCTAATGTTATTAACTTTTAAATTACAGACACAATTCCTCCGGCTCAAGAGAATGTCTAGACTCAGGCAGCGGAAGAGAGAAAGACAAAATTAGAGACAAACGTGACATGAGAGACAGAGAGAGGGACATGAGTAGAGACGGCAGAGACTCCGCTAGAGACAGGAGAGACTCAGCCAGAGACTCTGGCAGTGGGCGGGATCGTCGTGACGTCAGCAAGGAGAGGGACCACAGGGATCATAGGGACAGAAGAGATCGTAGGAGTAGGGACAGAGAGAATGACTCGTGGGACAGAGACAGAACATATAGTAGAGAGAGGGAATACAGGGACTCGAGGAGTAGAGAGAGACTGCCTAAAGACTATAGAGACAAGGACAGGGATAGACACAGGAAACCTAGGCACTCGTATGACGAGGATGAAGAGTGAGTACATGTTATTTTATACAGACTCAGACTATATTCGAAAGTACCTATATAGACTTTTATGGTGTTTTTAATGTTACATGATATTCAGTTACAGTGACGGCTGCGGTTCCGGGAGATCGTCGCCCAGAGACCGGTGGCCAGACCAACGCTGGAGGAGAGACGGTCAGTGAGATTGCATCATTACATTACACTTACTTATTGAATGACGTAGTTCTCGTATTCAATAGGATTTTTTTATTTATGTTTTATAACATCTTTCCAGAGAGAAATTACGGGTCACTCGGTTGGCGGGAGACGAGACGTCGTGCTGAGTTGAGGCAAAGTGAAGATTCCGCTGAAAGGAGGTTTGTTAACAACTCTCAACTATATAATTATAGCCAAGAAAATCAATTATTTCTCTTGTACATTTTATCTTTTTACTTAAATATTATGAATCTAGTGTCAGTTTGTCACCATCATCACAGGTACGGTTCGACGCTAGGCTGGTCAGGTCGTCGTTCAGGCCCGCGGCGGTCATCATCCCGGGAACGCGACCGTGAAGCTGCCCGCGACCCGCCGCGTGACTCCCGCCGTCGCACCCGACGAGACGACACACGCAGGCCCAGAGACTATCGGTTCTCTAACGACTTCTCACCTAGAGAACGAGAACACACATCACCTTTTGATAACGACTTCCAAGACACACCCACACCCACCGGCAAGAAGAGGGCACCTTACTCCAATTTGGAGGGCACTAGGTATGTTTTGTGATGGTGTTTGTTCGATGTTCCATTATCCACTTTCATTATGATTAATTCGGTTTGTTTCAGATTCGCATTCGAGCCGGAAGACGCCACCGCGTCCCCTGTATCAGTGAGCAGCGCCCGCGCCCGCGACAGCGAGCAGAGTGCCACGCGGTTCCGGTTCGACTCGGACTCTATATCGCCGCGGTCCATGTTCGAGGACGACTTCGCAGCCGCGCCTCGACCTAGAACAGCTTCCATCGCGGAGGAAGAGGAAGGAGACCTACCACCCCTCCGTCCTCGCCCTCCCCCCTCCAATAACCGGGATATCCGTAAGTCTGACTCCATTAACATCTTCACCCGGGAGTCAGATCCCTTCGAAGGTGACGCGTTCTTCGCGTGCACTGGCTCCGACCGCGCCGCGCGACGTGAGAACTGGCCCGGAGACTTCCAAGGCTTCGACAACGCGTGAGGTCGCGAGGTCCGATTCCTCCAAGACTTGCCTACTACGCGCTCAGGCATAGTGGGAAAGGGAGTAATCGCTAAAGCTGGGAAGAAAACTATTTATTACAGTTTTTATATTAGTGAGAGTCAGAAACAGTCCAGTCAAGAGCAACCCGAGTCCCACTCTGAGTAAAACTATTTGCTATCAATTGTAATCATTAACGCCCCACGTTTCTAAAGTTCCTAATGTCAAGCATCAAAATTCAGTTTTTTTTAATAAAAAAAAAGTTTTTTCTTATGGAATATGGTTTCAAAAGAAGCGAGTTGAATTAAAGATGCTTTGGGAGTATGAGAGATTCATTGTTACTAAGTCTTTTATTGCTTTTAATTATAATAAACGCTATTCAATTTCAACAATCAGATTACAAATGAATGCAAATAGTGATGAAAAGAAAACAACATGAGAACAGTCAGAGGATGAATATTTGAATGAGTCTTGCCATAGACGTAAGATTTTTATGGATCTCGTGTACCCTGTATAATAATGGTCTCCTGATAAATGTTAAAAATAATATCGCAATCGTTTTCAGATTAGACTATTTTTATATTGTTACATATTCAACTTTAATACTAAAGTGTTAAAAGTGAATTTTCAGCATTCCTATAAGACCTAGATAAAAGGTTTTCTCCCTAAGAAGTGGATGTGTAACAATGTGAAATGTAACATTTTGTTATATAACGTAGGGTTAAGATAACATGCCGCTATTACCTAGTGTATAAATGTAACCGCTGACCATTGTCACCCTAGTATTATGTATATTATCTATTTACAGTGTGAATAGTGGAAAACTGCGAAAACTTTGAAATGAGTACTTACGAAAATTGACAAAACTTTTTATTTTTAATGACCTATCTCAGTCCAAAATAGGTGGTTACGATCGATTTTAAAATAAATTACTTATAAATGATATCAAAACTCAATCTAAATCAGGTTTAAGATAGAGATAGGTTTAATTTTGGCCGTATAAGGAAAACGTATTAAAATATCTCACTGAAAAGGTTAAGTGACTTATTAGTCAGTTGTTAAAATAAAACCTTTCAATTTTCGCGAATAAGTACCTATTTCAAGTGTTTGCAATTCCTCCACGGTACATACTGTATCTCAAGACAAATATAGATTTGAGTTGACAATCTATATCTGCCTTTAGACGCAACCTGTGATATGTATATGCAACGCCCTTATAATTATTATAATTTTCGCGCTTTTTACTTTTTATACCTCAACCAAGTGTCACAAATTTAGTCCACCTACTTGTTAATATATTCTTTTCAATTATTGTCTTCAAATCCAATTAAGTGCCGATTTGTATCATGTATGAAAATGACGAATTAAAGCTTGAATGAAATCAATTCTATATTTTTTACTACAAAACATTTCGTAATGAATTCTCCTATGTCTGTAAAAAATAAAAAATAAAGTAATTTTGACGATAGTCAACCTCCTTGTTTAGAAGACTGCACATATTTGTAGAAGTAGCGAATTCAATTTTCTTATTACGTAGCTTATGAATAAAACAAGTCATTCCGTATGTATTTAATGATATTTTCGAGAAAATTCTTTTTTTTTCTATAGGCAAGATCTAAGCGCTAAATACAATTATTCAGATATTTCTCATAGTGAAATGTTTTACTTATCATAATTACACAAACATCAATTGAGTTAATCGCGTTTGGTTTTCAAGGGTTTCATACAATTCGCAATCTTAAACTCTAACAAATACAGTTCATTATGAAAAGTATCTGAAAATTCTGTACCTATGTATTAAACCGCGCATTTTACGTTATTTTAAGTATATCAATACTCTGTTTTATTATTTTAAGTAATTATAATTTCAGGGTGGAATCATTCTAGTTATGGAAAGCGTCACCAATGAAAGTTTGGGCACAAATCTGTACAGTATTTAATTGGTATTGTAAATATTTTGCTACGATGCAATCCCGTGCCGCTATGTAAAATGTAAATAGTAACATTTTGTAAATGAAATGAATTATACTTCGACGACTCTAACTTAAACGCTGCGGTAATTTCAGCACATACTCAATAATTATTGAAAATCCATTTTTATTTATGAATGAATTTATTTAATTAATTAATTTTGTGTGATTATTATATATTAAAAAAAATATTTTATTTGATAGTCATTTTCAAAATTGCTGCACATTTTTAACGCATTTTATGACTACGTTGTATGTTTTCTAAGTCTGATGCATCTGTGAATTTATTTCTATCTCATTAATTTATTTTAAAATATCATACATTTTGTTTTATAATGTTTATAGTAAGTTTTTTTTGTGATAGTAATACTCGAAATGTAAAAAAAACATCTATAATAGTGAGCGTCAATTGTGCTTCTAAGATATTATGGAATTACGTTTAGTGAATAATTACTGTGATAATTTTATTTTATTGTGATTTTTTCCGGATACTTTTTTTACTTAATTTTTATGCACTTGTTTTTATGTAAAAATCAGCATGAAGCAATTAAATAATATTCTGAAACAATATCTTTCTAACACGATAAATATTTACCTATAAAATGTTGACTTAAAATATTGACAACCTTTTGCATTCATTTTTCAGAATGATAACTGTTCACACTTATTTACATGAGGAACCAAAAAAGAGTGAACATATAAAAAAGTTATTCCTTATACAAAAGGTACACAAACGATAAATAATGCTTATTAATCTCATTATTTCTAAAGTTACCAATTAAACAAAAGTGAACTGTTGCAATTCTAAAAAATGTAATAAGAAGGTACCTATTATAATGTTATAATTAAATATATCTTCTACATAGAACTAACATCCCATAACCATTTTATAGCGATTGTAATGAATGTATTCACATAAAACTAATGTTACCTATAAACTAGTGATCAAGATGTCGATTTTGTATCAATGTATTTTTTGTACATAATGTAGCTAGAGGAAATTAATTATGTGCAATTATTACCACCTCTATGGCGCAATACCAAAGGTATTTATGTTCTGTAACTGTTGTGTAAAATACTCGGAGTTATTAAAATTATAACGAAATGATCGAAAACGACCTTTATTGTTTTATTTATTGATTTTCATTATCCCTTAGTTTCACTACCATTTTAAACCAAACCCTTCCGGTCGTTCAATGTGGTAATAAGATTGTAGTTTTCTAGTCATCAAAAGAACAGAATGTCGGTCAGCTGGCATGCTGTCATCTTATTGTTTATTCTCAGAAACAAACTTGATTCCCTGTGGTCTTCGGTAAAGTGGAGATACTCCCATGCTGAGCACCTTAATGTAGATAAAAATCGTTAAGGATTTCGAAGCACACTATGACAAGAGTAAAACTAGTCCGTTTAATTCTGCCCCCGATAGGAAAAAAGACGCATCTAACATTTTTTACCGATTTGAGTTATATACTTTGCCGGAATCAGAAAAAAAAGGCGCATCCGGCAAAGTATATAACTCAAATCGGTAAAAAATGTTAGATGCGTCTTTTTTCCTATCGGGGGCAGAATTGAACAAACAGAAATATTTCATAAATAAATATAGTTATAACCTACACACGAGTACGACCTCTGCGATCGGTTGGCGGGCCATCGCAATGGGATGGCCTATCTGGAACTCGACTGATTGTTTAACCGGGAGGTTTCGATAATCAACCGCCAAGTTTACGGGCGATAATCGCAACCGCGGTTGTGGGACTGCAGAATACTGCGGTCTCGTGAAAATTCCACCTCTTATTCCGCTACCGCGTCGGAGGCGGGAGAAAATCTCGCCGTGAATCCTTAGCCTAAGAGAATCTTACGTACTTTCAGTGTAAATGTTAGACGAGTGGACACTATCCTGATATCCAGGGGAAGTGCATTCCACAGCGAAATTGCCTGTACGAAAATGGAAGAATGAAAGAAGTTTTTTTAAATATATTTGATGGGCCGATGTATGACCACTATCTCGCCTGGTGGTTAGCGTTGATGCGGTCTAGCATGGAACACAGGGGCGTGCACAGAGATTTGAAGTAGGGTAGGCAGAAGCTATCACATGATTAAAAATAAATTTGGTCTAGGTACATTAATCTCGGAAAATAAAACTCCCGAAACATCATAGTTTTGAGTAGGTTATTAGGTTTAGTAAGTATTTTATTAATTTGTATAAACAAATTAGGTACATAATTATTTTAAAACTATCCGTGTATAAAGTTGATCAACATAGATCTATCGGTATCTATTTTATAAATCTATTAACTAGGTACCTACTTTGGAGCGGCGAAGTATAAATGGCTACACACCAAGCTATGCGACACCAGTATAACTGACCGTTAAATGCATAGAGAAATCGTACAAAGCGAGATCAAGATAGACTGGATGTTAAAAACAATAATTAAATTGGTACACAACCAGTGCTAACAAACTATACCTATAATCGCAAATCGTAGTTTATTAAAAGAAATAATAAAATGATTACCTTTTTTGAGTTACGCCTAGCCCGGACATACGACACGCAAAATCACCTTTGGAAATATTTTCGTTTCTTCTTCAAAAGACAATAACGACAACGCACTCATATTGAATTTATTGAACAACACAAATCACCAGCACTGAGCTCACAGCTATAATTTTACATAATTTTCGGTAAATTAACAGTTCATTTAAATTATAATTCATTACATTACAATTTATTCACTTTCACATAAAAACATAACCAAAACAAAATGGCCAAAAAAACGTAAACAATAAGTTGACCAAAATTAATATATCTATTTTCAATCAACAAACGCTACGTTTTGTTGACTTCTTAAATTAGTCGGATAACGAAGAAGCAGTGCTTTTGCGGTTGTATAGAAATTACCAACCTAACAAAAAAAAAATCCAACATCAGCACGAGAAAACAAGCAAATTGTACCGGCTAGCATTAGTACATGCTTCCGCCACCATCACACAATAGCGAGGTGGCGGCGCCACTGGCGCAATGCTCCAATATCGAAGAAAGTAGAAAGTGGTTGTAGTACTTCAATATTTTTTCAATAGATGGCGTTAGTTACCAGTTTTCCGAATTAAGTATCAATAAAATTACGAAATCTCTGTATGATGTCAGTAAATATTCATGACGTGTATTTGAGTGACACTATGTAATAGACTATGTAGGTTTACCATGATTTTGTAGGGTATGCACTGCTTATTTGCATGTATGGTGTGCACGCCACTGATGGAACACATCGTAGACCGCATCATCATCCCGAGACCACCCAGGTTATACCCTTCAGGAAATACAGACTCTGGCAAAGAATTCCACTCCTTAGCAGTACGTACAAGGAAGCTTGATGCGCAGGGCTTAGTGGGGCGTATGGATGAGACATTTACCATGAATCAGTGACGCTTCGCCGATTATCGTACGATGATAAAAAGGACAAGGGGGATACCCCCCATAGGATACCCAACTTCCTACCAGCCAATTGCGCTTTCAACTCTATATAGGTAGGTGCTAAAGTTGAGTGTAGGCGTCAGAGTGACGCCAAGAAGCTTAAGATGATCAGTTATCTGAACAGATACATTCTGAAAAGTAGGAGTCAGCGATTTACTCTATTTGGCGGAGAACAGACACGCAGTGGCGCATTGGCACAGATTGGAAAAGACGGTTATAAGAAGAACGAAGGTTTTTATTGTGGTTTACGCATATAAGTATTGAGAAAGTAAGAGGATAGATAACTGGGTGAAGAATGTGAACAATAAAAGGAGAATAGAGTGGTTACTATCATCCTGTTCTTCAATTAGCAAATAGGGCTACACAGTGTTGTTATTATTGAGCCAGTTAGTTTAGCCCTCATTCGCATCGGATACGCATACTCGCGAGTTTAAATGGTTTTTCACATTACTGTACAGTGGCGCTCTCTGTTGATCAAATAAGACAAGAATTAAAATAAGTTTATTTCGTGTGAATTATTTTGGTTTTTTAAAGAAATTATCTTGTATAATAATGTTACATGCTAAGTAAAAAAGTATTACACAAAATATACCGTGGAAGTCGAAATTGAACACAAAGGAATTGGTTACATTCATGTTTTCTGGCAACCCTAACCTTTGCGTCATAACATGAAATTGAAAATGAAATGTAGCAGTTGTCAAAATTTTTGTCCAAGACTGAATGAATCAACAGCTGTTTTACATTTTTATATATATAATTCATTAAAACTGGGTAACGGACAGGTAGTTTTGTATTCCTATTTCAGGTCATGGTAGATTTTATTAGACTTAGTGTTACATTTGAACATGAAACAAAGGTAAGTGTAGTAAGACATGGTTCTAGTTTAGTAAAGTGTAATGTTGTTTACGTGTTACTGACAATGGTGTTTGTTTGTGAAGGGCTCGCTCAATGCAAGGCGGCGATGATATGGTGGCTTATGCAATGGGGAAGAAAGCAGACGACGGTGATCACAGTGAGATACAACTGCATAGAATAAAACCCCAAGACCATTTTATAGAAGCACAAGTCCAAGAAGGAGACACCTTACAAGCTATTGCGTTGCGATTCTATTGTTCTGTAAGTACCCTTAAATACTATATTGTAAACAAAATATGATTACTGTGTGCTTTTGTCTTTCCACTTATTCATAATCAAATTAGATGTTTCTATTTATGAATTTCATTAACTATATTAATTTACTTCCTGTTATTAATCTTATCATTTATCTAATTATTTAACACTTTTATTGTATATTTCAGATATCAGAGTTAAAACGAATTAACCATATACACAAAGATAATGAAATATTTGCGAGGCGGACAATAAAGGTACCTGTGACACCATACTCTGTGCTGACAGAGCTCATTCCAACACAGCCCTCAGATCCTGCACCTACAGCATCAAACACTACATCACACACTGGTATACAAGAACTGCTGAATACTAATCATTTCAATGGACTTATAAATCAAAATAATGTATCGATAAATGCACCTCCCAAGGAGGATTTACAGTGCTCCATAGATTGCAACAGTGTTGTTATGAACAGCACTTTAGCGCCATCTGTTGTCCCATATACGGACTCTGAGCAGAATGAACAAGCAACAGAAGATACTCAACTTTTGCCAAGCAAAGAGAAGATATCTGTTGAAGCAGTTGTGGTGAAGGAGTTGACTTCCCACGGAGCCGACTTTGGACTGAAATGGTTCCATTTAGTGTGCTGTATGCTCATTCTTGGTGTTGTGATACCTCTTGTGTATGTTATGTTTTATTTAGACAAACATGAACATTCAGAAACTGACCTTCCCCCATTACACTCAAATCGATGACTGACTGATACATGATCTGATGGAAAAGCTTTAAGTTGTAATGGTATACATTATAAATCAATTTTATATATCACTGTAAGGGAACACAATGTGATTCTTTTAATAAAATTTATCATTTAAGTACATATTCCAAACATATATTATTTTTTATTTTTTTAATATTATGAAAAAGTATGCAATACTAAAAATGTTATTAGACCACTTATATTTTCCTATACCTTGGTACAGGATAATGTTCACAGAATCAAAAGGTTGAACTATTTACCAACAGTTATCCTGTACAATACTATTATTGTTAGATATTATGTATCAATTTATATTGACATGTTAATTTTAGTGCTGAATAATGCTAATATTCTTGATAAAAGAGTATTACAAACTCATTACTATGTATCAGTTCTTAATAAAAATACCTACTCTATTTCTGTGAGACTACATTAACAAAACTAGCAGATATAAAAAAAAATAAATTCAAAAACTATAACTATGGCACTTACATTGAGTCTTGTCAAAATTAATTACCTACCTTTACATATTGAAAATTAAGGCAGTTTGACATTCATTTTCAAAGAAATGTAGATTCGTGCACCAAACTCTATTTCTTATACATATACCTATAACCCACAGTAACTATCACTTATTTTCAAACTAATTAACGTGTCTCTGCCTCTGTGGCCAAGTGGTCGCAAGGGGTCTCTGGTTTGATTCCCGGGTCGGGCAAAAGTATTACTGGGCTTCTTAAAAATTCTCAGTAGTAGCACGGAGTCTGGAATTGTGCCCGGTATATGTTAATAGGCTCACCCCCCTATTACATGGTACTCATAACATAAATGGTGAAAAGTGGGTGTTACATTGTACAGTGACATAATGTGCACCTCTGCCTACCCATTCGGGGATAAAGGGATAAAAGGTGTTATGATAATTAACGTGTCTTGTTGATCATTTTACTTAAATTGCTAAAGTTTCTGTGTGTATGTTTGCTACTTAATCACGTCAAAACGACTGAAAGGATAAGATCAAGATAATATTTGGAACATGAATAGAATATGGCCTGGAATTACATATAGACCATTTTATATGCCACGAGAAGGCGGGCTAGCAGACGTTAATTCTATGAAACCCAAGTATCTGTTATATTAATTTTCCAAAGTAGTTTCCATCATCATCTCCTCCAGGATCTGCTGGAAATAAGCCCTAATCTCTTCCCTGGCGCTTCATGATAGTAATTCACCTATAACATCCAAGTTATCAATTTCCTACATGTTATACCTGTTTTAACTAACTGCATCGTAACTCATTACAATTTTAGGATTAGTTCATGTCAATCTTGCCAAGTTTCGTCCGCTGCTCGACTCCTACCGATTGTAGCGTGATGTTGTATAGCCTATAATAGCCTTCCTCGATAAATGCACTAACCAACACAAAAATAATTATTCAATACGTACTAGTAGTTTCGGAGATTTCAGCGTTAAAAAAAAACACTCTTATAATAAGTATAAGTTAGAAGTAAAGATTGACTCGAGAATTACTCTAGAAGCTTTTTTTTAAGGGGGGATTATCATCCAATGACTGATCCCGCCTGGGTGAGGCGGGAGTGTCAGACTCTTACTGACTAAAAACCACTCCGTTCCTTCTCCTTCGAGCTCCGCCCCGGTAACCCGTTAGGTTCTCCGACTCCGAATGGGCATCAGCCCTGTTGGGCCCCAACTGTGGTGGTCTGATGGCTCTTTGAGGCGCGCGTGGAACGCGCTGCGCCGTACGCTCGGGTCTGGTTCTGGTCGGACGGGGAGCCACCTATGCATGCTCGCTGTCCGCCGGCCCGCGCTTACGGTGGCCGGGGATCGTCCCGCGATCCCCGACGCTCGGAGTGTCCTTCGCCATGGCTGGGTTGCGAGCTCCTTAGCTAGCATACTCTTAAAGCTTATGTTAATAATTTAATGGGAGACAGGAGCCCATACCCGTGTTATATGGGTTTCCTGGCCATTGCATATAATTTTAAACAAAGTGCCTAAATCAGTTCAGGGTTACTAAATAAGAAAATAAAATAAAATCACAAAATAAACTATTTATTTGCCATTTCTATTTCTATCACTTAAAATACATCGATGTAACAAATAAATTGGTAAATCCATTGACACAATCTCAGTTTATTAAACTCTTTTAACAATATTATTTTAATAATAATGATAAATGCATTCTTAAATAGCTAAAACCCGACCAGTGAAATATTATTATAAGATATTACACTACATTGCAATTGTATAGGTTATTGCAAGAAATTTGAGATACAATATAGCATTCTATTTTCATGAACACAGGCAAATAAGATCAAAGTAATTACGTAACAAATTCATTCACGAATTATTATCCTGGTAAGGCTTTGTCACTATGTACAGATTTATATAAAATAATGTGAGCCTCGCAATACAAACTGTATAAAATTAATGACGTGATCTGAGGTGACTAAAGTAAAGCTTCAATTATGTGATTGATTCCACACTTGACGATCGCGGCCGCAATCAGAAGTTCCCGCGACCACCACCGAGATTCGGGTTACTCTCGTGCACACTGTAAGAATAAAGCAAATGTTAATTGAATTATTCAAAGTTATATCTACAAGAAATAACAGTGCCTATGGGGACTAAAATATGCAAAATTAGTATGAAATGAAAACACTCTTTCATCATTTCTATTAGTCCCATTACTTTTGGAAGTAAGTTGTTATATTTTACAGAAACAAAATACAGTTAGTACTAATGGTTCAAATCGAAATAAAGACTTTCTAAAATACTACAACTATTGATGTCTTCATACAAATTCACAAGAATAACACACAAAGCACAAAAGAAAATAGACAATGTTAGTATTACAGAGTACAGGAGCAACACGGAAGATTATCTTGATCCGAAGAGTGAGCCAGTACTTTGTAGGGAGATTAGTGATTTCTTGTTACCCAAATCAAAACAACAAAATCACTAGTCTTCCAAACAACGTGTGGCCTGTGGCTGAAGCCCGTTAGTTGATGAACCTAGAAATGTTAATCACCAAAGAAGTTAGTCACAATGAGATATTAAATGAGTTAGAAACAGACAGCTGTGATGAGTGATTGTATAAAAGTGAATACTTAAATCTAAAATCGAGAATAAGTATGTAAAGGTATTACAGGAATGGTAGGTACATATGTGAACACTCTCGAAATGTCTACGCTCCCGCTACTAACAAGTGTGTGCATTTTACCTGAGCGTCACAACATCGACGTCACACAGTCAAATCCGTTCAACAATTTCTACTTAATCTTAGTTTGGTTTGGTGCCAACTCAGGGAACTCTTCAAACATTCTATCGTCAAAACAATATTGTGTTAGTAATAGTATTGAACTTATAGTAAATGCTTGCTTCAGCCAAATTAAATGTTAACAGCACATCAGCTCGTCTCGCAATATTAGCAATGATACAGTATGGTAGATAGCTAGTTATTGGAATTAATGCCGACATGCTTGTCAATTAACTGGTACCTATACAATGACACACAGTATTGAGAAAACATGATGAAATGGTGAGCTTGTATTAAAATTGGAAAATATGATTTACGTTATTCATCTTGTAATCTCTGTGATCAGGAAGTTGATTCAGTCGGTTGTGTTCACTGGAGTACAGACACAAAGGGAAGGGACGGCGAGGTATGAAGGTAGTGCAGTAACTGACCTCTGTTGCAGCAGGTACTGCGCCATCTGTATGCGCTGCTGTGTGCCCGTGATGGTGATGATGCGGTCGCTGGAGCCGGGCAGTGGCTCCGCGATCTCAATGCCCGCACCGCTCTCCGCACGGATCTTACGTATGCGCGAGCCAGCCTTTCCTATTATCGCGCCAGCCAACTGGAACGGAAATCAATCTGTCACATTCTATGTTCGACCCACTTAGTAAACATACATAATTATTTAAATCGTCAAGTTTATAAATATCGTGTAATGAAGTAGTAAAGTGTGATACTAACATCTTTGGGAATAGTCACTTGTGTGGTGGTGTCCTGTTGGTTACCGCCGTTGTTACTAAAGTTGGCGGAGACTCCGCCCCCGCGGCCGCCGCCGAAGTTCCCTCCCCCGAAGCCCCCGCCACCTCCACTGTTGCCCCCGCCGCCACCGCCGCCGCCGCCGAAGGCACCGCGCGGTGGTCCACTGAAGCTAGCTCTAGGTCCAGGTCCACCGAAATCATTGAAGGCAGCTCTAGGTCCTCCAGGAGGTCCATTGCGACCTAGTGGTGGTCCTCGTGGCGCTGGCCCCCGGCCTGCGGGCCCCATGGGGGGCATGCCGCGCGGGGGGCCTCGAGGAGGGCCGCGGGGCCCACCACGGGGACCGCCACCACCACCTCCTTGTCCGCTACCGAAACCTCCGTATTCATCCGCGTAGAAATCATCGTAATTGTGAGGGTCGTAGTTTTGTACGGCGCCTTTAACGGGAACCTGCAATTTTATAGTGAATATAAAATATCGAAGATCTTTCAAAATTTCTAACCGCGAACGTCTGGACAGAAGAAAATGAAGTCGAGGTACAAAACAAATGTTTCTAGAGGTTTATTGACTGTATAACTAAGTAAATAATTAATAAAAAGTTAAAATTTACCTGTCGGATGAGATCGAGCACCTCCTTGATCCCGGCGGCAACAGCTTCAGGTTTGCCCACCAGCTGCACCACTCGCTCCGTGCTCTGTGGCGCGGGGTTCGAGAATATCTTTAGACGAGCTCCCGTTTTCTGTAAACGACGCACATTTCATCAACTAATTTTATTTAAACCCACGAATTATTACAATTATAAATGTTCAATATTATACGATAATACAACCACCAAATTCAAATAAAGAGGATTTTGCTTGGTATTTGTTTAAGGAACGAGTCGCCAGACTCACTCGGTCAATTGGTTATAAATTAATGGTAACCTAATTTCAAGCGAGGCTAATCCAACGCCCTAATTCCAAAACAAATTACATAACGCAGACAGTTAAGTTCGGTTGTTTACGGCAATCTGTCGCGACATAGTCAGGGTGTTGTGAAGTGGCATGAGAAATCGATGTGTGATCAATTACCGATATTAGATAAGGTGAGGTACGTGCGGTGCGTGGTCCGGCACCAGTGTGGTGCCGGTGACGTTTGACAGGCGGCGCGCGGGGCGCACGCGCGGCACCATCGACCCGCGCACGTGGCCGCCGCGCGCCCCCGCGCCCCCGCCGCGCCCCCACGCACAAACAACCGCCCGACCTCGCCGGAACCCGCCCTCCGCACATGCGAGCCACGCACACCGACGACGCACCGCCTACTATGGACCATCGTTATTCAATACTGACGCGCCTCAATTTAACCACTTCACAATTGTTTTAAATTAAACACTACACTGTATCTATGTTTCATTAACATTTATTTAAACTCGATTTTTTTCTTTTTATATCACACGAATTAATTTATGAAACGGCGCACGATCTAAGTCGCGCTCGTGTATTCCGCGGTGTAACGCCAAGAGCGGGCGGAGCGAGCATCCCTCGAGGGTGGTCGGGCGCGGACTGAGCAGGCGAGTGGCGGCGCGTGCAACACCTGCCCGACTCCCCTCCATGCACTTGTGGGGCTCCGAGGAAAGCTCACACGCGCCACGCCTACCACATGCCACTACCGAGTAATGGACACACAGAAACCCCACTCCAAACAACACATATACAACTCAATTTATCAAAGTTCACAATTTTACTCCAGTATGTGATACGAGTGTTTGTGGCTGGCATCTCTCAGAATTACTTTCAAAATTGACCTTTGTTGTGGAGGTTCGAAATATTAAAGCCTTCTGTATGAAATTCAAGTAAAACTTATTCATTTCAGCATTCATCACAAAGCACTTCTGATCCTTGTCACGAACGGGAGTCCGAGCCGTCATTCAGTACGAAAAGGATCCGTTAGCGAGACGTCCGCGACATAATTTATCAGTATACTCTGAGCTTATATCCCGTGGGGGACCGCTACAACAACAACACACATACCCGCTCCGTGACTAGATTTTCAAACTTTTACTGAAGCAGTAACAGCATAAAGTTGACTATAAATCATAAACATGCCAGGCTAATATTTCACCATACTGTACTACACCTACAATCAATCACAAACTTCGCGCGTCTAACCATAAAAGCTGCAAATATTTGAACACAATTTGTCTTGATCAAATCGAAGTTCCTTTTGCAGCGAAGTTAAACTGCGATCCGTTAGGTAAGGAGGAGGATGCTAACTTCGCTTCAACGTCTAAGAATGATTCTTATCTTCTTATTCTTTCATCATCTGTTTATCAAATCATATTTATAAGATCGTATTTTTTAATTTCGTCTTGTCATATTATGCTCTGTACAGACTTCAAATTCAAAACACGGAGCAACAACCCTCTATTGATCACTTGTGGTATTGATCCATGCGCTGAAATTATACCTGTTGCTTATGTTTCCAGTTTGTTTCGTCATGACATTCCCAAAGGTAGGTGAACCATCCATAATACTAAAATAATGGTTATTTCAAAAGTAAATAGGATGACAAAAGATAATTTTATGTGTAACAAAGAAGCCCTACGTGGTCCGGTTCGGTGTGGTTCGATCGGAAACGGAAGCGGCTAGCTCGCGTGCTGCCGTAATTGTCGGGGACACCGCAGCCCGGTGTCGCCCGCGCCTAATTACACCGACGACATATGCACGCCGCGCGCCGGCTGCTATCTGTTATTCGTCTAACTGTAAATATACAACTGTAGTACACCTGAAAGCTACCACTAGCCACTACATTCTGCCCTCTGCCTACTTCAACCCTCAATTATAGTGCCTTAATTGTAGAGTCATTGTTACATTTGAACATATCCGCTGCAATGTTTTATGGTATACGTAACGAGGATGTGAAGGAGGTTCACAAAAAGTTTCCTGCGTCACGTGCGCGTAGCTCCGGTAACCCAACGCCGGCGCCGCGCGCTTCCGACGGATGAAACCCTACATGTGATATTACCCTTCGGCTAGTTCACAGCTCTGCGTGAACTCAACCGTGATTTCATCACAAGTAGCACGGTCTTAACAAAACGTTTTGTTTCCACTTCAAAGTTTAATGAGAAGCCAAACGTTCCAATGTTTACGTAACCAAGAAATTAGACGGGAGTTGAACAGATGTAAGTCTGTTCGTAGCTAGGATCGGAAACTTCAACGGGTAACGTTTAAATTGAAATAAATCTGTTTTCACTGTTGCATTAAAGTGAGAACTTGTACGAAGTTTACCTGCGTGAATTGAGTGATACAAAGATAGGAGAGGCGGATGCGGCACCATATGTTCGAAATTTCTATTTATGTAAGAAAAGAGGCCTCCGAGGGGCGAGGAGCATTGTGCAAGTAGGTAAGCTGGGTGAAGCCCAGGTGCGCGCGAGCTTTTTGTGAGGCCTTCCGGCGGCTGTGCGCGCACCTGCCGCGACACCGCGCGCCGCCAGCTGCCGCCCGCGCACGCGCCGCCGCGACGGCCACACTAAGAAAAGTGCTGCCCTAGGTACACTTGATATTACAGTCAGGTCGGTAAACTCCTATTAATACTAGCAACAGCGCAAGCCGGTTCACTTGCGCTTTGAATAGCACTAATAATAAAAGCCCTTCGCGAAAATACAATGTTTCCTTTGTCATGTTAAAGACATTCAACTATTTTTTATGTAGCCCGAATTTCCTTTGGATTACATTTATTCTTTGTGTGATAAAGAATTATGTCTTGTTAAATTGAGGCCGAAACGTAAACTGAACAAAGGATTTGCGAGAACAGCTGATCGAATAAAAAAATCAAAAGGGAGCAAAATGGACTCAGGTAGATCTCGACATGATCAACGTATTAAATTGTTTCCGGAGAACACAGATGCTTTGGGAATATTGTTCACTGAAGAAAGACCAGCTTCTAAAATAAATTCCAAGTGGCTACGAGACAACGTGCTACGAGTCCACGATCAGGCACGTCCCTGGCATCAACCTTCGTTACTCAAATCTCCAGACAAACACTGACTAACAAGCTCGAGTTATGAAATGCAACACCGCTAATAGCTAGATTGCAAAGTTGTCGGCGTCCCGTCCAGACAACGTTGGCACGTACACGTTTATAACTTCCAGCAAAGTTGCTCGAGTGGTAATTGATCCAGCGCGATGCACTCTCCGTTATGCAGACTCTTTGCCTTGTTTGTTCGACTTGTCGACGAATTATGACGTCTACTGTCCTAGCTTTGTCGAGGGTACATTTTAAAGTTCCTTAATTGTTTGCAACGTTGTTCGTAATTCAATCTAAAATAGTTTTTGAACAAGGACTCTACTACGGTTTGTTGCTAACATTACAAATTTTAAAAATATAGAGATAAAGGTCGGGGAATTCAAAGCCGCAGCTGCTTTCACATCTGCCTTGATGGCTATGCACCGGCACCACGTGGCATGAATGCCATCGCTGTACGATAAAAAAATCCTTAAATATAACTGCACCTTCGCCTGGCAGATGACTGCTAACAAGTCGTTAAAGCTCGTCGCATCTGCCACCTCAATTATTGTTTTAGATAACGGGATCCAGTTAATCGAATAAGATTGGTGATGATAGTAATACATAGGATAACATACAAACGGAAATCGAAAACTATTGTAACCGCGTGTAATTGCATGCATGCGTGCACTTTATAACACGCGCGAGGTGCTAGCAAAGTTTATCAACATTTTGTTCTTGTTGGAATGGATCAGTGGAGAGAAAGACATTCTTCTAGTGACGATGTAAGTACCTGTAATATTTTTGTTATTCAAACGATAACTCACCTCTCGCAGCTCTTTTATCTTGGCGCCTGCTTTGCCGATGACGCAGCCAGCACGACTCTGGTGTATCAGTAGACGGACGTCTAAATCTTCGACGTTCTTCACACCTCCTCCCTAGTTATAAATATCTAAATCAGTACCTCTTCTAGTTTTACTTCAAAGTTTTGCAATTAGTTGGTATTATCATGAATTCATAACTCACCTTGTACTTAATAAGTTTCTACGAATTAAACATAAAACTGTAGTTGGAAGGTTATTTCTACGTAAGTAGTTTTTGAAACTTGGTATCGCATGCAGAACTTTAATCACATATTATGTAATACTCACATCAGCTAAACATGGTAATATTTCTTTTACGATTTCCAGAATGGTGTCGACATCCGGCGCTGTTATCGATAGTACCCTGAAACATAAGCATCGTTAACGCCACTATTTGCGCAGCAACCGATATAAATCACAGCACAATATTAACAACGGTACAGACATATCAACGGTCAGGGAGGTCTGGACTCAAAGTAATCTGAAGCATGATGGCGATGAAACTTATGTCTGTACGTGTCGTACTCAGTAAGTAGCTGCCTTCCAGAGCGGACAGAAGTAAGTCGAGTGAAAGGATCAGTCCTAAGGGAACAGACTTGTAGCGGCTAATGAGCGAGATGCAAGGACACTGAGGTCGTGAAAGTAAGATCAGAAGGCGTCCAGTGCGACTCAGTGCAATCCTGCGGATGTGATGAGGACGGGAGCTCGAAATACGGAGTAAAGCGCCTAACGCCGGGAGCTAATGATTATTTTTTAGATTCCGACTCCTGACTGTTGACGAGTAGAGCATAAGACCTCGACTCGGGCTGTATTAAGTTTTGAGAGTACATGTTGGCGATATAGTTTACCGTTCGGGGCCGGGGCAATCTGGGACTGTTATAGAGGCTTTGTACTGCGTGGCGGGGCGGCGGGTGCGGGGCAGCGGCGTCCGGCGGGGCGGGACCGGCAACCAAGACACGCTGTAGCGGCGCGCCCCGCGACTACACTCAGCCCTGAGCGCGCCTTCGACCAAGCTCAACTCCACCAGCAATTGACTTATAATGGTGGTACATGATTAGGACGAGGACGAGTTGAACGTGGTCAAAGACGGCGGTATGAGTGTAGACGCGCGGCGCGTCGCGCTACTAGCCACAGGGGCGTCTCGGGGGCGCTAATGACCTGCAAACTGGCTGCCGGGGGGTTATTCTGTCTATAATAAGTCTACGGACTCGCCGCTGTCGCAAGACTCGATGCCGAGATAAACTATCGAATCTTACTTTCTTCTTCATTCTTATAAGTTCTCTTTGTTATCTACATGACAGACTAGAATAGCGTATATCATAGTTGAAGCGTAGTAAATACGGATCTGACAGGTTTTTGTATTACCCATTAGAAGCACAGAGCAGTACAGTTTTTAGATTTTATAAGATTGGTAGACGTACCTGTGGCGAGAAAATTGTTAAAAGTTAATAAATTAACTAAATATAGTGACATTCAGATAGGCATACAATAAAACAAAAATGCGAATTTCAACTTAATGGAATAACAAAAACTTAAAAAATTGGTCTAAACTAACTTTAATCAAATACATAGTAAATACCTGCTATTGCTTGAAAGCTTACGAAAATACATTAATACTGAACGAAACACTAGATTAGAGTACATATACGTACTGGATACTTTGATATTTCAAGCAATTATCGAGACTACTGGTAACATTCCACTACTTACTGGACGTGTAGCGGTGGACGTTATAGTAAATACTGACCTGATTCCTTAGCTTGGAAATATTTGCGCCGCCCTTCCCGATGATGGAGCCCGCCACCTGATAACAGTGGAAACGTTACGGATATGTTCACACACCACAAAAAATCCTAATTGTTTCTCGAACATGTTTTATTTCGAATTAAAATTAGTTCCAGTTTTTAACATATTTTGTAAAATTAATTAGGAATGTTCACTGTGTATGGAAAGGAAACATCCATTTAATCTAACAGTTAACTTAGATAATACAAAGTTTAGTTAGTAGTAGGATCACTAACATAAGCTTCACTAGAATAGTACTAGAGGTTCCATACAGAAATATAAATCAGGTCCAAATAACGAATCCACAAGTGGATATATCAGCCTTTACAACTAGCTTATAATGGTAATACACGAGCATATCGTACACACAAATTGAGCGAACTGCAACCTTACAGGCATGAATTGATTTTATACAATTTTAATGATAGCGCCGGTGCGAGAGGGTTGGCTTACAGCAAGCCAACTGTAAATTTGACACGAAATCCTGTTTGAGACCTGGGTATTATACTTTGCTGTTCAGCAATTACAAAATTGAATTGTATTTTTATTTTTGCATTAATTTTTACCGGTGGGAAGGTGGAGTTTTCTGCTATATTGTTCAAGTTGAGACAATGAAGTCTTTGTCGAGTCTTTTGCTAGGCTTCCGTGGCAGAACCATGTTGAAATTTAAATGAACACAATTAACTTACCTTGCTCGGTATGAGAAAGGTGACTTCGTCGTCAGTATTGCGTTGCCGTTTCTGCATGGGGCCGCCGTCATCGCCATACCCATCCCGCTTCATTTTACCTGTACAACAAAACAATTTGATCAACATCGGGTAATTCAAAGTATCCTTTTTGGGAACACAACATATTGTATGGTCCATTCTTTTGTTAGTTGATCTCTATGATTGCAGCTGTACGCGTCGGTCGATATCAAAACATGGATACATTTATTTTTCTCTTAATATATTTTTAGGTCAGTTGCGTACCTACCCGAAAAATACGGGTGAGTGTGAGTGGAGCGCATCGAATATTGTAGCGTTTGTCGGTGGAATTGATAATACGTAGCTTGCGTATCTCTTGTTTGTGTTGTCTACAGAATGCTTCTAAAGAATTGTTGTTTGGTATTCAACCTTCCGGTCAAACACTACACTACGGTCGCACACGACAATTTTTGTCTCGAAACTATATTTTCTGAAAACCTATTGAATAACCAAATTGAATTTATGCGCATAGGTAGGTAAGTACTTAATAGCACTATCGATTTAACTGCATATTGATTGATTTCTCACGGGTATACGGCGTTTATGCATTTTAAACGGTTATTTTATTAATAAAAAAAAAATTCAATAAATCTTTAATGGTGATATGATTAATTTTCTCTGCTATAAATAATGTGTTTTTAAGCTTATAATAAGACCAAAAATTATTTACATCGTATAAAACATGTCCTAAGGTCACAATGTATCTAAACGGAAACTAGATTATCTACGTAATAAAGGGACGCTACCAAGCTAGTCCCAGCTAACGGATGTAGACGTGCCGGCGTAGGTACCAGACGACCTAAATCCTCCCTACCCCAATTAACCTTTCTTGTGAATACAATATTTCAAATATGTACCAAGTCGATATTTGTTTTCTTATACCCACTATAAATAAGGTAGCGAATATGATAAAGCCACCCGAAAACTATGAAAATTCAAATAAAACTCAGTGCTACACCGAAAATAACTAAATGGAGAAGAAAAAACTAGAACTAAAAATACGGAGCCTTCGATAATAATGAATATTCAATTTTGTGCGTACATCACAGCGAGAAATACAATCAAATTCGCACAATTGTTAAGGTGTGAGATAAAGCGAACCGTTCATTTCTCACATCGAAAACATGAAATTTTTTTCTTCAAAAACAAAGTTACCATAAATCACACCTGATTGAGTTAAGTCTCCTAATATAATTTTACCTTCCAGCTAATAGTTACGTTTCCGTTTTCCGCTTCATGGGGCGTGCTCGAGCGGAAACTATTCGAAGGAGATCAGTAATTTTAATATAATAGGGAACCCTGTTGTTATTATTATATCAAAAAGGTACATATTTATTTATTGACTTGAATTCAATTCGTAGTTATTAATATGACTATTCCGGAACTTGTTTTATGATGCAAAGGAACCTTCAAAGTCTTTAATATCAACTTAAACAAGATCACAATTGTAAGCTCCAATTTATTTATTTCCATTTTTAAAATGGACGAGGTCGTTATCGACCCGTTAATTAATTTTCGCACCTAAACAAAACATTTTCTTAATTGTTTACGAAATAACGAGCAACTTGGGGAGCCAGGAAGTATTAAATACAACAATAAGAGCATTTCATTAGCGAGTAATGCCCGTATTTAAGTATCGAATTTCTCGGAAGAAGAAAGGGAATAAATTTTATTTTTGGCGTATAATTTTTATCCTGCTACTTGCAGAGAACCCGGTAATCCCTATAAAACTGTCTATACTTTTCCGTAACAAATTAACTTATGCCATCCATCATTTCATGCGTCACAAGTACATTTCCGAAATATTTTAGTTGTACAAAAATGAACGTTGTTTTTTGCGAATTTGTAGAATTCGCTTTGAATTATTAGATAGAAGACTTCAGTTTTCGTTACTACCAAGAAAGGAAAACAGTTTTGGACATCTTTATAAAACGCCTAAGCTTGCTTAATCGATTTAATAGAACAATAAAAAGTGAAGTCTGAGAATTAGGGTCCAAGGGTGCAGATGGCACGTTTGGCCCAGCGTATGCTAATGTGACCGTCTGCCGGGCAGCAGGTGAACGAGGTCACTGACACCTGCAGGTGTACGCCTACATTCGCAACTCCCGCCGTTCGCGCCACAAAGGGTACCACTGTGCCAACTTATCTTCTATCCTATAAACCTAACTTTCTTAATTTCCTGCCATTCCAAGTAATAGGAACTATGCTCAAGTGTTGGCGATAATTTGCTGTGGAATTAACGTTTGTATTTCAATTCCAACCAAGACAGTGACTTATAAAGCTGTACCTCAGATTATTATTCGCTAATCAATATCATAGTATAAGTAACATTGCTATAAAGTAAAAACAACATGTTATAAATAAATACATCGAGATATCGCGCAAAATCGCAATAACGTTACATAAAGGAAAGTAATGAAGTGTTTCTGGAATTGGAACCAGGTTAAGGACGATCAAAAGTATAAATCGAATGCGTGAATAGAACAAGCGGGAGTAGAGCGGGGCCCGGAGCCGCCCGGCAGGTGTTCGACGCACAAAGACCGACATTCCTAAAGACCAAAACGCGCAAAAAATATTATAAAACCCGTACAACCAACCGTCGCTCAAAATGTCACTACCAGCTGTCCCATCTCACCTGTACCATTTCTTTTACCAACCCTCCGTCTTTTTACTTAGGTAATAACCTAATAAACATAATGGATTGTTAAACTCGTCGTTTCCTCTTATAATATTTATTTCTCTTTTAGTACAACGCAAAGTTGACGTAAATGAAACAGGTAACAGCTTTTAGATTCAATAAAACAGAAGAGTCGAAGTAAAAAGCTCTTGAGAATAAGGAAAAATAATAACACAGCCGTAATAGTAAGAAATTAAAATAATTAAAAAATAAAACAAAAAGTAAACACGCCGAAAAGGATAAGGCAACCCACTTACCGAAATGTTTAGCAGGCGACTTTAGGCGAAGAGGGTTGACTGCTTAGACAAACATGAGCCAAAATCGGAAATATTTTTATTTTCTTATGGAAATTAATCGCGATAATAAATTTTACTATTGTACATTATATCGAGCAAGGAAAATAAAGAGCGCGTGTGGCTTCATGTTGCTGTGTTTGGTTTGCGTCTAGTAGTGAAGACGTTCGCGAGTAGACTGACATCGTTTGTGTTCCGACTCTGGGCTTTAGTAAAGCACCCCCGAGACGCCGGGGCGCCGGAGGTGCACATGCGCGCCACCCGCCGCCCCGTCAATAACACCCTACCTCTCATTGTGCCCCGGAAACGACGACTTAACGAGTCACGCCGCAAGACGACACCCTGTTCTATGTCTAAGCCTATCTAGATATCCTCAACAATCCGACTAATTAGTTTATCCGTATCAAAACATTCTGCTCTCATACACTATGTTACGCGACACTGCTGTTTCCTTTAAGTATACATTTCAGTCACAAATATTCGAATTTTGAACTTTACTAGATTTTACAAATTAGTATTTCAATATCGTCAATTGTTATGAAAATTGGGTAGACCAAAATCAAGTACGAATGTTTCATTACATTACAGATTAATTTGTAGAAAGTGCGTTGACTCATTTTTTGTTAGGTAGCACTGTTATCGATGTGATGAGAGAACGATCTACATAATAAAGATCCGAGGTGGCAACTCTTGCATGCGACATTGTCGTTACTAGCCACTAATGTTTGTCCACCTACGACTTCACTTAACAAATTGACCACAATTGATGGAAGTTAAATTTGATGAGCACGACAATAATAACGTTAAAATAGCTTTTGAGTTGCAACTTAATTAATAAATTAATATCTTAACATCAATTTTATTAATTTGTCACCATGAGATACAAACAAGATGTTATTAAATATGTTACCGGTGGAGAATAAATAATTATGGAAAAATATATTAGATGTAGATAAGTAACACGTACTACATCCAATATTTTATGGTACCGATTATCTGAATATGACAAAACTCATGTGCCTAATGATAGTGGGACAGTAATTTACTTCTACTGTGGACAGAAGATCAATCAGACCATCCAAATATTCGTGCGATCGAAGCCCGATACGTGTGTTTGTACTACATTTCATATTATGTGTGTGTATGCATACAGACCTACATTTAATGTTTGTAGTTATATGTCAATAGCTAATAGCCTACCGATGAGCCACGTCGAAGACAATCGTTGCCTAGGAAACTTATTGACAACAAAAATGCGCACTATATTAATTTTCCACCTAGAATAGTATATCCTATAATTACGAATATTATGGCTAGATGATATTTACTATTATTGGATAATTATAACTAATTCGTTGGTTAATATGGTCACTAAAAATTATCTCGACTCATTCCTTTATCGAGAAAAAATGCTCTTAGGAATCGTTTTAGATTCGGAACTAACGGATTGCAGCTCGCTCGTTAACCGACAGATAAGAATTAGTGTCGAATGCTCATGCGCATTAAGATAAGAGATATGACCATACAGTTTAATTCATACAAAAATAAAAGGTGACCTTGGTACGAATATTATATCATGTAGGTACCCTGTGTTTTATTATTTTACAATAGCAAGTCTTAGTCTAGGAAAAACGTAGGTAATTACCGTTTGATTAAATATTAACATGAGAGACGGCATTTGCTTCGAAGGCGAACTATAAGTTCAATCGTGGGAACTGACAACTGCTAGGAAAATCGAGGTGCGGTACTGACCTAATTGTAAGTCGACTGTCTTCCAGCGTCATTATTTTAAATATGTAATTGTAGTAAGGTCTAGGGGGTTGAAGTGAAGTCTGTAATTTACTAGACACAAGTCGCTAAAATATTCAGCGACAATGGGAACCTGCCAGGCGCCACCGTCCACCTCGCCTGGCCTGAGAGTGGACACGTGATGTTTCGAGGCTACACCACCGCCACCCATATCATTACTTCCCTCCAACTAAAGAGAATATGCAGGTGTCTTTGAGGCCACTTCTTTATAATTCAAATCGCCGTAATTACAAGCCTCGATGTTGCTTGTGCATTTTAAAG